TAGGGGTTGCCGCTGTTCTCTGGGTATTAGATAGCAGGTAGGGAATATAGGCCAGGTGAAATTCCCAGTAGGAAGAAAAGCATTCCACATAAGTGACTGTGATCAGTTTGTGAATAAATCCAGGGTGAGTCCTCCAGGGAGAAAGCTGGGTAAAACACGTGAGTCTGTTCACACCTGTATTATTGCTAAACCATAGAGTAGTTCTCAGTCTAGAAGCCATGCTAGTATTTCAGACTCAGGAATTTAGTTGTGCTTAGGAAACTTTCCCCCTGGCTTATTGTTATAAAAAGTCTTGTCCTAGGCCTACCCTGATGTCTTGCTATAAATTATACTTTAAAACGCATACTTAAGTCTTAATAATACATTATTGTCAGTATTGTTGCCTATTTGGTCAAACTAATTTAAAAAGGAAAACAAACTAAGAATTACCCAGGTAATTTTCTTGAGTTACATTAAATTCATGAATGTAGACAGAAACAAATTCGTATGTATCCTCTTCCCCTGGTTTGGGTGAGCATTGGGCTTTATGTTGCCTATTTAAAATCACCTGAAACCCCTTCCAGACATTCACATTTGACTTGTTGTGCAACCTGGGCTTAGAAAGATGCCTAAGAATGGAGTGGAGGGCAGGGTGTGGCTTTGGTACAGAGCTTGGTGTTCCAAACACCTTGGGTTCCATCCCCTAACAACAGGAGAAATCTGCTGATGATTCTGATGGATATCCAGGCCTGGAAATCACTGTGTGGGTAGTCATCTGTGACCTTGGGCAGGATAACCTCAAACTAGTAACATCTCATTCTCTCCCTGGATGCTCCAAGTGAAATGAAGGAGTTTGTTTGTTTGTGTTGGGGGGTTGTTTCATTGTGGTGTTTGTTTGTTTGTTTGTTTGTTTGTTTGTTTGAAGAGAAAGAATTCGTTTGGAATGGAAGGGACTTCTGGAGGGAAATGCCTGAAGCTAGTTTTCTTGACATAGACACCTTTACAGGCATGGCTTAAAGCTGACAGTGGCCCAGAGCTCAGGCTCATCTCTTTCCTCTCAGAATAGGTCTGGAGGAAAATGCTACAATGGATCCAGCTCTGTGCCAAGTACAAAGTGTGTATACATAAACGAAAGCAGTTTCAAGGGCTGTTCTCTAGAGTCCTTTTCCTCTGCATATGTGATTTGAATGATTGCTCAGTTCTGATAGCTGAAACAGAGCAGCATTTCAGTGTCCTGTCGGGGGGAAAAAAAGCAAACAAACAAAACGAAAAGTCTTTTCCAAGCTAACTGTGGGCTACTTTTCTCTATAAAACAGGTAGTGATGTTACATAACAGAGAAAAGAATAATCCTGTCTTGGATGATCAGGACACTTCTGAGTATTTGTCTCTTGGCCTGGTAGTATCTCTTTATCAAGCAACTTATACTTTTCCTTAGCTGTTTCTTTCTGAATAAAATGAACCAGTCAAGGCTTAAGTATTTCTGACTAGTATGTGAAATGAGCACATCTTTGTCCTAGGATGTTAAAAGACCCAATGCAATAATTCCCAAATGAGACTCAGCAGCTTCCATTCTTACCCTGAGTAGAAGAGATGTGTAATGGTTGTGACACTTTCCTACCTGCCTATGGCAATAGGGAGGGAAGGCTTGTTCCATTCGCAGAAAAAGTGAAAACCACTTTCAAAGTAACTACTAAGCAGCTTCTGGCTGCTGAAAGAATGCTTCAAGGGCAAGTTCTGTGTGGCAGACATGGATTATCCTGCACACAGAAAATTCTGTTCCTGCGTTGCCTGTAACTGATCATTTGGATTTAAGAAATGGGTGGTGTGAATAGGAACAAAAGGTAGGTTAAGGGAAGAGGCAGTTAGAGCAGAGGACTAATTAGCATCAGAATACAAACACTTGCTAAGTAGCATTGAGGCCTTGGCCTTGCTTAGCTGTGAATGCTGCAGCTTCAGGAGAGAACTGCCTCCCTGGCCTTAGGAGACTAATGGCCTCCGGCAGGCTAGGAAAGCAGTTACTGTCTAAAACCCCTTAGGGTTTTCAAGCTGGAGTACTGTGGAGTACTGTGAAACTTGTTGATGTTTATGCAAATTCTACCACACTGGACTTTAAGATTTTGAAGGGACGAAAGAGGAAGGCGGAGAAGTGGTAAATGGTGGATGTGTTATTTTGAGCAAAGGGTAAGAAGACATTTCTACCACAGCTGTAAAATCAGATCGTCATCTGCCCTAATGCAGTGTCTCCATCATTCATCCACTGATTCATTTCCCCTTTGTCCTTTTTCTAGTGCTGGGTGTTGAGCACAAGAATCTAGGCCCCAAATACTTTCTGAAACGGCAGCGAGTGCTGCTCTGACTGCAGGGCGAGCCCCAGTGAAAGCAAAAGCTATTACAGAATTATAGGTCAAGGACTGTGCGCTCGGTCCATTAGCTTGTCACCTGCTGTGGCCTCTTCACAGCTTCCACCTTTCCCTTGTTTTGTGTTCTAGTGGATTTATTACTCAGGACCCAGCAGCTTCCTTTTCCTTTAAAACATCTTAAGAAAGTACTCTGGACCTAGGTTGTCAGCCTACTTAAGTGAGGGGAGGCACATTGGCAGAGCACTAAGTCTGCCTGGCTCCTGCCATTTAGGATGGGCCACTCAGGCACTGCCTCTGAAAGGCAAAGGGAAGGCGGAGGATGAAAGAGGAACGGCAATCAGCAGCAGGTTGATTTCCTTCAGGTGGGTCTAGTCTGAAGTAACTATCTAGCTCTTCTCCATGGTGCTTATTTAATGGGTGACAGCTGTCTCCCGCCTCCCTGTCCCTGGCAGTGTGCCTTCCTACTGGTCACTGTGAAAAGTAGATCACACTGGACTCAGAGGCCAGAATCCAGGACAAGATCCCTCTTCTTATCTTGAGCCCATTACTCCTTCACACAGCTTACAGTGTAGCATTAACTTCTCTTTGAGAACCTCCGCGGGGGGATGGGGGGGTTCTTCCTAAGAAACCAGGAAATAGTAGCAAGAAAACAGGACAATGGATTTGGGTTAGAGCTGTCACTTTAAGAAATCACAGAAAGATTTCACTTCAGCTGCTACTGAGGGACAGTGAGAATCAATCTGTAGCCGCTTCCTATTCCTGAAGCTGACAGAGGAGCGTTTTTTAGGCAGCACTTACCTGATAACAGTTTTCACAACTCGTTCATTAAGGAGAATTCATATTGAAACAGACAATCACTTTCTAAAACACTGGTCCTGGGCAGGAGCAGGATAGATTATTTTTAAATACCAGTCTGTTTTCTCCCTATGAAGAGAGTCTAACATTTGAGATTTGTGTCTGTCATCTGTAGCACTCACTTCATTAGTAGTTAAGATGCCTCAGCAAAGTACTTCTGGGTAGCGCTCGCACACCCCTGAGAGTGCTGGGCTGCCTGTGTGCATCTTTCCTCCTAAGATTTTGTTTTTGTTGTGACCCTAACTAGAAACACCTGTACATAGGAGTAGGGTTTCCTCTCAAGCCTCCTTTAATCATACTTAAGTGTAAACCCTCCCTTCCCCTTTACTGGGGGGAAAAAAAAGTATGCACTTTAATTCCTAAGGAGTGTGGCTGTGCCTGGCCCTGAAGCCAGATCACTCAGGAGGAGAGTTGCAGAGGGAAAACTCTTGCCAGACCCTGTAAGATTTAACCAAATTTCTTTGCCCCTACCCCCTAGTGCTGAGGATTGAGCACAGGCCCTTACGTCTGCTAGGCCACTGCTCCCCCAGTAACAAATGTAATAATGTGAACACAAAATACCATCTGTTTTTAAGCTGCTCCCAAGCGGTCCCTGCCAAAGGGGAAAAGAATCACTAAACAAAATAGTTCAAAATACGTACACTGAATTTGGAATTTTTTTCTGGGAGAAATTTTATTTTTATTGAATTATGTTTTAGCTACCAAATTATATATATATATGTATGTATGTATGTATAAAAACAATCTTGAGCCGGGCGCAGTGGCATAGGCCTGTAATCCCAGCACTCAGGGAGGCAGAGTCAGGCAGATCTCTTGTGAGTTCAAGGCCAGCCTGGTATACAAAGTGAAGTCCAGGTGAGCTAAGGCTACACAGGAAACCCTGTCTCAAAAAAAAAGAAAAAGAAAAATCTTGTTTTGTGGTATTTTTTTTTTAACTAAAAATCAAGTGAAAACACAGTAACTCTAAAATATTTTCCAGAATTATGTGCTGGGTTCTTTTCCTCTTAATTTGAAGGCATCCTCTCACTCTCCTCCTGTAGATTCTGTCTTTCCCCTGGTGACAGGCCAATAGTTATTGGAGGGGTAGCATGTCTCCTAGAGCCCCTGAAGCCCTGTTGTGTCGGGGAGGGGGGAGGGCAGAAGGGTCAGGGGGGGGAAATGAAAGAAGAGTTAAGAGGTGGGTTTATATAAACATATTTAAAGCCACGAGCAAAAGCTTTCTCATGGGACAGCTTTAAGAACAATGTGAATGAGACCTTAGTAACTTGGTTAGTCATCTGAAAAGTCTATTAATGTATACTTGAAATTCTGTTTGTATGAAAATGCATTTCCTCTTTATTTTGACACTGTGTATAAGAACATTATGCATGTGAGTGGTTTGAGAAATAAAAGGTTTACTACTCATTTGAATCTCTGTCTTTCCTATATAGAGATTAATTAAGTTGTTTATACATTTTTGGAATTTTGTAGTATGGTAGGAATACTGAGAATTTTCCAGATGCCTCCAGGATGAAATAGTAATGTATTTACCTCTTTTGTTTTTATGGTTTTCTTTTCTACTTTTGGGGAAAAGGGAAGACATCTTGAGACAGGGTCTCACTCTGCAGCCCAACCTCAGCTGGCCTTAACTCCTGATTCTCCTGATTCCACCTTCTGAAGTCCTAGGATATTGTACGTGCTGCCATGGCTGGCCCCTTCCTTTTTATTTACCCAGAAGTGGTGAATTGAAAATGTCACTTTACCAAATGCCCCATAGCATCTGTACTTCAGTCTCTTTTCTTCATTTCAAGTGGAAAAGCCCGTTCTTGTGAGGTGGCAGTGTGTTTATTTTTACTTCTATTCACAAACACCAAAGTAGGAAAAGGTGCAAACATTAAGAATATGTTAGTTCACACAAGGATTAGCCACTCTCCCCATGAATATGATAGTGTTCAGCGCTACTTCCCTTATAAGAACCAGGAAGGGCCTGTTGGCCTTGAAGGTCACCCTATTGGGGTTCAACGAACGACCAGCAATCACAACAGAAGTGCTCGCTGCTGCCTCACTGCCTTCCTCATTTACCTGCAGGCCACATAAAAAAAAAAAAAAAAAAAAAACATTAGCTACCCTGCAATCTGCTATAGGCACATAAATCAGACAAAGACCCAGCAGCAACTCATATTGCTGTTTTCCGGCAGGATAGACACTTGGACACAAATGGTTCCCTCCAGAAACCTACTCATTCTCACATCCAGTGAGGGTAATGCACGGGGCTTATCCAGAGCCTTGCAAGAGTTCCACAAGTGCAACCCCTGAACTAGAAGCCACGTTCCAGTAGCATGGGTTGGACACTGTATGGCAGAGCATTGTTTTCAACCAACTGTTAAGAGAAATTCAGACTGTGTAGCAGAGATCTGTAATTGAAACAGATTCACTCTTGAAGCATAAAGCAGCTGTCACCACCCCAAACAGCCACTCAGAACCGGAGAAGATGGTATCTGAGCGCCACAGCTGGAAGGATGCCTTCAGAAGATACGTGGCAGTTGATGACATTACTGTGATGGGGATAGAATCTTGTGCATTTCAGTCGCTGAGGCTTTTCTGCCATTCAAGTTTCTCCATGTCATCTATTTCTGGTTCCTTTTTTTTTTTTTTTTTTTAATACAGTCTCACTATGTACCCCTTGCTGGCCTTTAGCTTTTTATATAGACCTGGCTGGTCTGGACCCTGTGGCAATCCGCCTGTCCCTGACTTTTAATAAAGTACTTGCAATCTCTGTGCTGTGAGGGGCTGTTAATGTTTTTTCCCTCCCCTTTGGTGTCTCACATCTATTTCATGCTCATTCTAGGACTAAATTCCAAGTCATGTGAAGATTAGATCCAACAGGCTCCAACCTCCTGTCCCTCATGCCTCAGCTTCCCTAGTTTCTACTGAGCTTGGATGCTAGAATCAGCTCTCTGGCACCACACTCTGAACATTTCTCTCTGACTGGCACCTTTCTTTGCAAACTCAAGTCCCGTAAACTTGTCTCACGTTGGCCCATCTCCTTCTGCTCTCCTCTTAACTTCCATGAGGAATAGTCTACACCTGAGGGTCTCAACCCCAATTGTATGTAAAAATCTCCCGAGTATCTGTGTGAAGAAATAGACTCTTAAACGAGTTCCAGGACAGCCAGGGCAACATGGAGAAAACCCTGTCTCAAAAAACAAAAAGGAAGAAACCAATTCTCAGGCTCCATCCTTCAGTCTCTAGGGGTAAAGATGTCCACCCAAAGCTATGGATCCACACTTCAGCATTTAAGATCAAGAACGTCTACAAACTGTCACAACTTAACACTCACCTCAGTTGGGGGGAGACAGAATGAGCAAAACTCCACTCATGTGCTGCCGTGGTGTGTAGTTAATCTCTCAAGTAGATCAACATGTGCCCACCGAACTGTATTTCCTGACATGCTTCATGTTGCCATAGTTCTCCTAAAACTCGCTTGAGGACGTTCAAGTCACCCATACCCACTTCACTCAAGCCCGTGCCCTCCCCTTTCTACCCAGATTCCTTTTCAGCCGGTTACTCCATGTTTTCCATATTCCTGAAACACCTCAGAATCCCCTCTCAGTGGCCTCCGCTGGCTCCTTTTCCTTGGGCTGCCCTCTAAATAAGCCTCTCTAGCAGAAGAGAAGGTCAAACAGCGGAAGCTTGAGGGTTTCCCTGAAGTGCTGAATGGAGGGAGACCTCATGGAGAAGGAGGCTACAAGCTCCCCTGTGTGTACATACATGATTAAAGGAACACCGCACACAGGCCTCTTCCGCAGTTCTGGCCTGCGGCCAGCAGACCTGCTGGAGCATAAGAGCAGCAGCAGGAAACTCCATTCACACAGATTGAGAGAAGGCAGAGGGTGGAGGGACTCACCTCAAGAAATGCTTTGTGGAATGCGTCGGAGACATAGAGGTCATCCCTGCCCTCCGTGACAATTCCTGGGAGGAAGGACAGGGAAGGTGACACCGTGACTTGAGGAACAGAATGCTGAGCATCCCTAATAGTAACCCCACTCCCTCAATAGACGGTTGGGGGTTGTTTTTTTGTATGTTTGTTTGTTTTGTTCTTGGTTTTTTTGTTTTTTTTTTTTTTTTTTTGGCTTCTTTGGCCTGGATCTTGTGAATTTAATCTCATGTTAGCTTTTGTGGGGGAGGTAAAAAGATGGGACTCCGTTTTTAAAGAAACACTTTACTTTATATCTAGTAAAAATATGTCTTTCCGGGCTGGAGAGATGGCTCAGAGGTTAAGAGCACTGGCTGTTCTTCCAAAAGTCCTGCATTCAATTCCCAGCAACCACATGGTGGCTCACAACCATCTATAGTGAGAGCTGGTGTCCTCTTCTGGCCTGTTGGCTCATATTCAGGCGAATACTGTATAAATAATAAACAAATGAAAGTTTTAAAGAAATAAATAGGCCTTTCCAGTCTGGTAACATTTTTAAGAGGTTTGGTTTTCCAAGCTAAAGGTAGCCCAATAAAGATAAATCTGATTACCCGATTTAAGTCTTTTTTAGACAGAATCTCGTTGTGTAGCATGGGCTGGCCTTAGCTGTCTCCTGCTTCTGCCTTGAGTGCTGAGATTACAGTTGTGTGCCACCATGCCCAGCTCCGGGCTTCTTTTTGGAAAAGATGTGCAGGCCAATGAGATAGTTCATCAGGTAAGGGCGCTTGGCACCAACCCTGAAACCTGAGTTTAATCCCTGGGGCCATATGCCTTTAAACCCCTGAAAGTCATTCCCCTGCCCTCCACACACACACCAGCACTGATGCAGCCCCCTGCACACACCACACATAACAACACATAAATACGGGTGTGAGCACATACAAGACACTGCCAGCAAGAGAGGCACACATCTATAATCCCAGCACTCGGGGTGAAGGCAGCCCAATTTGTTCAAAGCCAGTCTTAACCACACAGTCTTAACCAGGAAACCTGGGCTACGAAGACCCTGCCTCAACCAAAAAAAGGCAAAAACGGGGCATTTTAAGGCTTTTTTTTTTTTTTAATTTTATTATTTATTTTGGTTTTTTGAGACAGGGTTTCTCTGTGCAGCCTTGGCAGTCCTGGAATTCTCTCTGTAGACCAGGCTGACCTTGAATTCAGCATTCTACCTGCCTCTATCTCCCTAGTGCTGAGAAGGCCTGTACCACCATCACCTGGCTAAGGTTCATTTTTTCATTTTAGTTTACTATCACATTTCCTTTTCATTTTATTTTTACGTGTGTGTGTGTGTGTGTGTGTGTGTGTGTGCGCGCGCGCGCGCGCGCGCGCACGCACATGAGTGCCAGCACCTACAGAGTAGATCCCCTGAAGCTGGAGGACTGGAGCGTTGTGAGCTGTCTACCATGGATTCTGGAGACTGATCCTGGGTCTCTGCAATAGTAATAACTGCAGAGCCCTCTCTCTAGCCCCTGTTTCAAGTGCTGGAATTACAGGCCTGTCCCAACAGGCCTTGCTTTCAATGTCTGTCTCTTTGAATGCTGTTGCTTTTGCAAATTCTTCCCCGCCTGACTTCATCTCCTCTGTTAGGTAGATTCATAGGGGGACAGTCCTGGCTGGACTGCTAAAAACAAGAGCAAACACCCCCTTTCCCAGGGGGGTGGGCTGGGAAGGGCTAGGGGTCGCCACAGCTTAGCCCAGAACCAGGGTCAGAGTCCGGGCATGCTCTCTTTTGTGCTTTCCTCTAGTCTCCCACTTTTGGTCAAACCGCCTCGGAGTAGACAGGCGGCAGCTCTCTGCCATACCAACCTGGAAGCTGGGACTTCTCGGGGCTGAAGAGATCAACAAGGCCCATGTCTTGCAGCTGCTCCTTCAGACTGAAGCTGTCCTCAGTCCGGAAGCGGGGCATGTGGACCACCAACAGCACCTCCGACAGCTCATCCAGCCACTCCTGCAGCAGCTCGGGGCTGAGCTCCCGCTCCACCTTGGCCAGGCTCTTTTCAGCCTTGGGCAGGATGAGCACCATGGTGATGTCATCACCCTTGAAGGGCAGCTCCAGCACCTGGGTGCCTTCTGCCACACGGCGGTATCTGAATTTGCCTTCCTGGTACATCATAGGCACCTGGCAGGACTGCCCATCAGCCTTGTAGAACTGCTCCTTCCTTGTGTTCTCAGGGCTGAACTTTGACTTCCACAGGCCCTGGAAGATGTCAGGTGGGAGAATCATAGAGCAAGAACAAAAATACCCGAGCAGAGCATTTACTGATATGGGACATAATCATGCTATTTGATTGCATCAACCTATCAACGTAGTTATTAGAAAAAAATTAAATTTGTGTTAAAGGGCTAATAATTATGTCTGAGTGATACAGTTATTTCTGTATTTCATTCTCTGTTTTTTTTTTCTATGTTTTTCAGCTTTCCAAAAATATTCCTTTTTTGTTTTTTTCATTTGAGAGGGGTGTGCCACCATGAGTGTGTGGACATCAAAGGTCAACTTCTCAACATGAAGAGACTGGTTCTTTCCTCCCACTCTGTGGGATCCATGATGGCACTCAGGTTGCTAGGCATGATGGCGAGAACCAACCAACCATCTTGCCACCCCAGCTCTGGTTTGTTTGTTTTAAGCAGAGGACTGTAAACCTAAGAATAATCTACAGTCTTCTTTGCAAGTTCATCCTGTGTGGCCTGCTGTCCATCAGTGTTTTGCCAACTGCCAACATCCCAAACTCTGTGCTCTGTCCCTGATGAGTTAGAGGCCAGACTCAGACAGCAATCCCGGGAATCTGTCTGAAGTCCTACCCGGCAGAGAATGCCTCCTAGCTGGCTTCCTTCACCCCTCCTTATCACCTTCTGGCTCTTTCCTCTTGAGATGTCATTAAACTCTTCTGGGAGGCAGAAGTGAGTTAGGCACAGGAAAAGAGCCAAGGACTCTTGGCTCTTTTAGAGTGTTAACTGTGTGCTCTAAAGATGTACAAATACCTCCCTAAGTATTTCACATGTGTTCACCTACTCTGTCCCTTTGATGATCCTATAAAGTAGGTGGGTCCTCTTTACCATTTTATAGATGCAGAAAAATTATCATAGGAAGGTCCCCAATAACTCCTAAGTAACTCACAAGAATTCGTACACTTGGAAATAAGGAGTCAAGATTAAAAACAAAGAAATCATACTGCATAAATGGCAAAAGGTCTCACTTGCAGTGGTTTAAGTGTCAAGAATATTGATAAATAGCAAGTTGTTGCATTTTTAAAAGGGGGGGTAACGTTGTGGAAATTCAGCCCGCTCTGCTCTTGAGCAGAGGGGGACTGACCCTAGCAATGGCTGGCTGAGGCTCCTGCCACACGGAGAAAGGGGGGATGCAGACAGCTCATGTCTAAGGATAAACAGCATATGCCACAATTCAGCTGCTCTGCAGGGAGGGTCCAGAATGTCAACGGTGTTCGTTCTCACTCTCCTCTCCCTTCTCCTCAAATGTAATTAGAGCAGTCCCTAGAACCCTGGACTTTGTGAGGAAACAAGCCATATACGTGCTTACGTCGCAGGCCCCTTCTTAGTCTAAGGTGAGCCCAGAACTACGTGAAGCTTCAGAACCCCAAGGAGCTACGTACAATAGAAGTTGCTCTTGAGCTGGGCCCGGTGGCACACACCTACAATCCCAGCACTAGGGGAGGCAGAGGCAGGCAGATCTCTGTGAGTTCAAGGCCAGCCTGGTCTACAAAGTGAGTCCAGGACAACAAAAGCTACAAAGAAAAACTCTGTCTCGAAGAGAAAAAAAAGAAAGGCAGGAAGGAAGGAAGGAAGGAAGGAAGGAAGGAAGGAAGGAAGGAAGGAAGAAATTAGATGGCAGAAATTATCACACAAGTGCAAAAGTTTGATACCATTCATCTCTCAGGCTGCTGGGTTATAAGTTCACATACTCTGCCCCAGCCTGGGGACACTACTAAAGCCTCTGGACCTCAGGGCTCTTACATTTATATGGTTGCCAAGAGCATGTAGGGACCATTTCAGGAGGGACCTGGCGACACACACACTTTACAGAGGAATAGTGAGAGGAAGCCCTAGGGTCTCCGCAGGACCCCCTGGAGTACCTTGAAGTAAATGGTGTTAACCAGCACCAGGGCAGTGAGCTCGTCGATGGCTCCTTGCGGGATGACATCTTTGATGCGGCCCTCAGTCTTGTTAGCTACCCAGCTGTTGATGGTCAGTCTGGATTGCTCTGAATTTTCCTAAAGAAAACAGAAAATAACTCTACCCACCTGCACGATTCTGTCAGCCTCGAATCTCGATTTCCTCATGCAGAATGTATTTGCTCATCATTTCTCTGCTCTTTTCTCGTGTCTGATTAAGAAGCCATCATTTTAATCCACATTGAGGAAGCCTCACTCATCTTATACGCCATCACTGACTTTTTATATAGTTAATCTTTTATCATACCAGGGATCACACTCAGGGCCCAGCCCATTAATAAATGTTAGAAGAAGAAGAAGGAGGAGGAGGAGGAGGAGGAAGAGGAGGAGGAGGAGGAGGAGGAGGAGGAGGAGGAGGAGGAGGAGGAGGAGAAAAGGGAGACAAAGCATCCGGAAAGATGAAAGAGGATACAGTCTGGAGGAGAGGAGGTACTATGTTACTCTGATTCTGGAAAACTCATAGAACTATCATTTCCAAACATGGTCTATGGGAAGCAGTGAGTGATGACACACACTTAAGAGGATGGGAGGGACGAGTACCCTGTAGCCAAATAACTTCAGAAAATGCTGATCAGCTGAGCAGTGGTAGCAGTACACCCCTTTAATCCCAGTGCTTGGGGGGTATATCTCTGTGAATTTGAAGCCAGCCTGGTATACAAAGTGAGTTCCAGGATAGCCAGGTCTACCTAGTGAAACCCTGTCTCAAAAAACAAAACACAACCGCCACCATCATCCTGCCCCCAAAAAGAGAAGAAAACACTGAGTGGATGAATCTTAAGTGGTTTGAATGAAAACAAACCCAAGAGGCTCATGTCTTTCCATGCTTAGTCCCCAGCTGATTAAGGAGTTTTTGAAAAGGATTAGGTGTGGCCTTCTTAGAGGAGATGTGTAACTGGGAAAGCCCAAGTCAGTCCCAGTCAGTCTCTGTCTCTGTCTGTCTGTCTCTCTCTCTGACTGCCTGCTACCATGCTTTCTGCCATCATGGAAATGGGCTAAGCCTCTGAAACTGTGAGCAAGCCCACAATGAAATGCTTTCTTTTATAAGAGCTGCCTTGGTCATGGTGTTTCTTGACAGCAATAGAACAGTACTCTGACAGAAATCAAGGGTTTGGGGGTTTTGTTTAATTGGTTGGCTTTTGGATTCATTGCTTTATTATTTACCCAGAACACTTAAAAGGCTTGTGTGCTTCAGGAATTGCCAAGGGAGCATGCAACACATATCATGCACCAATTTTATTTTACCATGACATATTTGAACTTGGTAGATGACATGAAAAAATAATTCCTTATACAGCTTCTTCAGAGCAGCCGTTATAATTGAAGGCCATTGCTCTCTTAAGCCTTAAGGAAGGGTCAGTGTTCTACGGGTTCTGATCCGTCCTCAGCCTCCACCAGCCACCGGTGTTTCTCTCCATTCTCAGTTTGAGTGGAGAGGATCCTGACATCCGCAACTCACCTTGAAGTCCAGGGGCTGGAGCTTGGCTCCGTAGACAATCTCACTAATGTCCTGATAGGTCTCGTTGAATGTGAGGGATTTGTCTCCAAAAAGGCGGTTGGCTGAGACCAAGTTGGAGGACTTGTTGGCTTTTCGGTAGAGTCGGCAGTTCAGTTTGGCAAAGAAGAAGTGGATCTGGTCGGATGTTTTCTCGGAGATGGTATCAAATTTAAAAACCTATAGATGACAAAAGAAAACAGTGGTGGGTGTGGCTGGGCAGTCCAGTTACCATGGGTGCAGGGTACAATGCTGGACTAACATTGGTCTCAGTTACGTCCAGCAGTGCCTGAAACAGCATAAACACTTGGCTCATGTTTTTGAGAAGAATGTACAAGAAAAAGAAGAAAGGGCAGGAAGCATAATGGGGAAAGACCAGGAGACAGGCATGCCACCTGCTCTTTAAGGGACTGTAGATCAGGGCAGAGTGCTTTCTGACTGTGAAGGGAGAAGTCCTCTTGGTGATTCAGGGCAGAGGAGCCAAGCTAGTGTATCTCATCATGACAAGTGTTTCCACAGCATCTCCTTGGGTCAGCACATCTTGAGGGCTCTGGACTACTGCTCGCAGAAGAACTGAGAAAGGAAAAGATGGTGTCAGCAAGGATATAAAGGAACCCAGAATCAGAGTGTCAGGGTTTAAAAGGGCTTAAAAATTATCCATGGCAGCCAGAGCCACAGACCTAAACAACCACCTTCTCCATCACCAGCACAAAATGGCGAGGCTGCCGCCCCCTTCTTTCTATGCTCTGTCCTGAGGTGGGAAAAGGCCTTTTTGGTTTTGTTAATTCTCTGATTTAAATGTTCCTGATTCTGTTCTGATATGTGCTCTGTGCACACACATGTGGAGTCAGGACAACCTTGACTGTTGTTACTCAGGAACCATATACCTTCTTCTCTTGCTTTAATTATTTATTTTTTTGGGGGGGTGAATGTATGCCTCATGTATGTGGGTGCCTACAGAGACCAAAAGAAGGCATTGCATCTTGTGTAGCTGGAGATACAGGAGGTTATGAGCCGCCAGATGTGGGAGCTGGAAATCCAATCTAAGTCCTCTCAAAGAGAGGGGAGGCTCTTTAACCCCTGAGCTACCTCTCCACACCCACCTTTTCCCCTTTGTGAGACGGGGTCTCTCACTGGTAGACCCGGCTGACAAGGGACCTGCTGGTCTATGTCCCCGGTGGTAGACTAACACTTTCAGTAATTTAATTTAAAAATTTTGAACATCAGGCTGGAGAGATGGCTCAGCGGTTAAGAGCACTGTCTCCTCTTCCAGAGGTCCTGAGTTCAACTCCCAGCAACCACATGGTGGCTCACAACCATCTCTGCTGGAATCTGATACCCTCTTATGGCATGCAGGTGTACATTTGGATAGAGCACTCATCTACATAATAAATAAATAAACAAACAAACAAATAAACAAATAAATAAATTCTGAATATCAATTAACAAGCATGCGTGCCATGCCTGGCTTTCTGGAGATCAAACCCAGGACTCATGCATGCAAGGCAAAGTGAGCCTTCTCCCCAGGTTCCTTTTTATCACTCTTTTGATTAAAAGCTCTATGGGTTTCTCTTTGTCTAGAGAGAGAGATAGATTGGCACCCAAGTGTTCTACATTCGACACTGGATGTAGGAAGGTCTCAGAGGACACATTGGGATTAGCAGCACTGTTCTGTCTCTGTGGGTTTTCCTTTCTGGCGTTATTCTGCACTGAGACTAAACCATGAGCTCGGCACATTCCTAGTCTACTCTTGAGCCCACGTGGCCAGCTCTTGTTTCTTTTTGTAGGAAGGGTCACATTGACGCTCGCATCTGGGGACGGTGACAGGATATGAGGAAATGCTTGAGGCTGATGACAGTGTGTAAATGCAGCAGGAGGCAGCATTGTGACGGAAGTTACCAAAGAGCTGCCAGCTTCCTTCCTAAGGGCACGAGGAACACACAGCAGGGCCAGGGCAGGCCTGTGCGCTGTGCTGGGCACAGCGGAGGCAGAGTACAGAGCTCCTGAAAGCTAAGTGTTCTGTGGAGCGCAGGTGTGGATAACCTCAGCCCCGATCTGAACAAATGAGCACGGTTTAGCGGAAACCGGCTGTCTGAGAAGAGGTGCACCTTCCTAATGTCCAGATGTCCATGTCTGGGGTTTAGATGGCAGTGTATGCCATGCTGGAGGGTTGTCTGCCTCCCCGTCATTTATCTTTGTTTCCAGAGCGAGGGCCAACCTAAAGAAAGGCAACTGGGAACTCAAGCCAAGCGCAGGGTAAGGATCTAAGGGCTCCACCCGTGGCTTAAGAGTGATACCAATGGCTACTTCATTTCATGGCATTTCTTGTTATCCTGGTCCAATTTTATTTCCCTTCTTCCCTGCCCTGCCAGAAGGGGTAAGGGAATCATTGATCTGAAAGGATCAGTACTTCCCATAGCTCCAAAATGTTCTGTCTCTTTGAGGCTTCTCAGCTTCCCAGGATCCAGGTCCCTCAATACAAAGCCCTAAACCTACCCCAAGAGCCAATCTGAGCTCTCCAGAAAGCAAATTGCCTTTCCCTACCAGGGCAGCGACTAGCATATGGTCCAGCATAGAGCTAGTGCCAGCAAGATGAGTCAGCAGGTAAAAGCATTTGCTCATCAGGCTTGACAAGCTGCTGACTGCATCCATAACCCCAACACTCCTATAGCAACATGGAAGCTTGCAGGGCATCGAGCCCGGACTCTGCAGTGTGGCGGAAATAAGAGACTCCCTCAGCAAGGTAGAAGGAGAGAACTGACTCCTGCAAGTTGACCTCTGACCTCACACACACAGCATGACACATGAGTGCTCTCTTTCAAATAATTAACTGGGAGAGAATAAAGAACATTTATAAAGAAATCCAGGTAATAACTCCTTGCTTAATTAAAAAAAAATCATTAGACACATGGTAATACTTGTGATTCTTCTAGTCATGAAGCTGAGTCCAGGTGATCACCACAGGTTCAAGGCCAGCCAGAGCTACATAGAGTAAGTTTGGGGGGTCAGCCTGGGCTACACCACAAAAAACCAGAGGTTTGAATGGGAATTGAGCATCTTAGCCAGAGTCCTCCTTCCTGATTAGCTTCCTTAGGTGTACAGATTTTAGTATGTTTATCCTATATTATGTCTAACATCCACTTATGAGTGAGTATATACCATGTGTGTCTTTCTGCTTCTGGTATACCTCACTCAGGATGATCTTTTCCAGTTCCCACCATTTACCTGTAAATTTCCTGATTTCCTTGTTTTTTATTGCTGAGTAATATTCCATTGTGTAGATATACCACAATTTCTGTATCCATTTCTCAACTGAGGGGCATCTGGACTGTTCCCAGCTTCTGGCTATTACACTCAATCCCCATTCAGAAAGGCAAAGAGGATGGACATTGGAGGAGAGATAAAACAGGGAACAGGACAGGAGTCTACCACAGAGGATCTCTGAAGGACTCTACCCTGCAGGGTATTGAGACAGATGCTGAGACTCATAGCCAAAATTTGAGCAGAGTGCAGGGAATCTTAGGAAAGAAGTGGGAGACAGTAAGACCTGGAGAGGACAGGAGATCTACAAGAAGAGCAACAGATCCAAAAAGTCTGTATACAGGGGTCTTTTCTGAAACCGATACTCCAGTCAAGGACCACTCATGGAGATGGCCCAGAACCCCTGCACAGAGGTAGCCTATGGCAGTTCAGTATCCAAGTGGGTTCCATAGTAATGGGGACAGGGACTGTCTCTGACAGAAACTGATTGGCCTGCTCTTTAATTACCTCCCCCTGAGGGGGGAGCAGCCTTACCAGGGGACAGAAAAAGATAATGCAGCAACTCCTGATGAGACCTGATAGACTAGGATCAGAGGAAAGGGGAGGAGGACCACCCCTATCAGTGGACTTGGAGAGGGACACAGGTCGGGAAGAGGGAGAATGGGATTGGGAGGAGAAGAGGGAGGGAGGTACAGGGAGGATACAAAGTGAATAAATTGTAATTAACAAAAATAAAAATAATTAAATAAAAAAACCAGAGGTTTGTTTTTTTGTTTTGTTTTGTTTGTTTGTTTGGAGAGATGGCTTAGCAGGACCAGAGTCCAATTCCCAGCACCCACATGGCAGCTCACAACTGTCTGTAATAACTCCAGTTTGAGGGGATCCAACAGACACACATGCAGGCAAAACACCAATGCATATAAAATTATATATATATTATATAATTACATAAATATTTGTATAATTATATATATAATATTATATATATATATATATTTTTTTTAAGAAAAAGAGGACTGGAGAGATGGCTTAGAGGTTAAGAGCACTGGCTATTCTTCCTAAGGTCCTGAGTTCAATTCCCAGCAACCACATGGTGGCTTATAACCGTCTATAATGAGACCTGGTGCCCTCTTCTGACCTGCAGGCACATGTGCAGGCAGAATACTATACAAATAATAAATAAATAAATCTTAAAAAAAAAAGAATAAATAAATACAAAAGAAAAAGAATCCTAACACATGAAGTACTGATTCAAAGAAAATTGTAACCCACAGTGATGTGTTGCCTTAGACATGAAGTCCAAGAGATGCTCTGCAGCAAGGAAAAAGGCAGAGGGCTTCACACTGTACCTCCATCAGCTGCTTGAGAGTATTGTTACAAGCACCCAGCTTGGTCATGGCAAAAGCCGTGGAGATGCTCAAGGGCGACAGGAAGATGTTGTCGTTGTCATTCTTGGAGTCGGCCAGGTGCTGATAGAAGGTAGTGGCAAATCGAGAATTGGCTTTGGATAGTTCCCAGACCCGACGGTTGGTGGCCTCTGGGACCTTCTGCTCTAGGCCATCCTCCTCGGTGGCCTTCTTCGCTGGGGAGCGGTAAATGCACATGGGATTCACAGGAATGTCCCGGGGCTTCGCAATGCAGACATCGTCCACGGGGCTTCCACGACAGATCACACAGCCCCAGGCACCAATGAGTAGCAGAGAGAGGAGACATACCTTCCTACAGGGACAGAACCGTGACTCCTCATCCCCACTGGCCACCACAATCTTATTCCTGAGAAGTGTAAGATTCTGGCCTTCTCGGCATTTGAGCTAAGCATGTGTGCCAGGGTAAGACCAGTCCTGGGCTCCTTGCCTGGACATGGTTATATATTAGAGGCCGTGTGTGTGTGTGTGTGTGTGTGTGTGTGTGTGTGTGTGTGTGTGTGTACGCGCGCGCATCCGTGTTAAGATAAGGAAGAATGCAGTTTCCTTTGATGAGTGGAACATCTGGATGTGCCTAGTGGAGAGTCAGAGAGCAAAGGAAGCCACCTGAAGGTGTTCAGGAAACCCTACCCCACCCCAGCCCTTGACAGGGATGGAAGTTAGCCGGAGTCTTAAAGGGCAGGAAGGCTCTGATGAAGAGTGGTGAGAGAACATGAATGTAGCAAAGGGGCATCTGAGTGCTGAAGGTTCCTGATCTGCAGCTCCAGCCTGAACCCAGACCTCTGGACAGACTCACTATTTGCCAGTCGGGAAGGCCTGCTACTGCCATTGTGAGATGTGAGTGAGCTGCTGAGCTGGCCTTCTCCTCCGCATACTGCTCTTCTATCCTTCCACCCAGTGGATCCTGCCTCCAGTCTGCAAACCCAGACATCACTTGGATTCCTCCCTCATTTAGTCTGACCCCAGATTCAGTTAATACCATACCTTCTGACCTTTCCTGCCCCCACCTTAGTCCTGCCCTCATTATTCTCTTTCCCCTGAATTTTTTGAATAGCTTTTTATAGGGATCACTAAAAGTAAACATAATTTCACTTTGAGGGTGGTAGGCATTAGAATAGGGTATCAGTAGCCCAAGCTGCCTCATTCTCACTACATAGCTGAGGATGACCTTGAACTTATGATTTTTCTTCCTCCAGATCCCTAGTGCTGGGAATATAGTCATGTGCTACCATTCCTGGCTTGATAGCTCCTTCTAATTAAAAAAAAAAAAAAAAAGAAGAAGAAGAAGAAGAGATGATAATCAGGTATGGTGATATATATATATACCCTTAATCTCAACATTTGGGAGGCTGGGGCAAGAGGATCATGAATATGAGGACAGCCTGGGCTACATAATTTCTCAAATTAAAAAAAAATAAAATAGTGAGATTGGCAAGGGATTTTGGACACTCAATAAAGTAATAACCAAGAAATAGAGTCTCCACTTCCAGCTGCTCGGGGTACCTGGGTTTGGAGGAGGGAGTCTGTATCTGGGCACTGAGTCTTTCCTTCTGAAAGAAAAAGTCAGGCACAGAGTGCAGAAAAGCCTTGCTCAGGTAGTCTGCAAGAGACAAGCTGACTGGAGGCTGAGTGAAGCCAAAGGGCATGTGCCTTTCTGTGTGGTCTGAAACCCATTCTACTGCTTGAGAAGTGGCGCCGTGAAGGAAAAGGAGGAAGGTAGGGTGTCGAGGGGGACAACGGTGGAGAGAAGGGAAAGAGAACCATTTCCACTGTGTGGGGTTTCCCATTTTGTTCTTGGGGCATTTGGAAATGTGAGTGAAGGCTGAATGGAGCCCTGAGCTCTGCTGGGTGTCAAAAGGAACCGGAGTGGTCAGGCCACCTCCTCATTGCCAGCTTCCTCCAACGACCTCCATCAAGAAGGGCTTTGGGACTCAGTCAGAGGTCATAGACGGAGAGGAGCAGAAAGCAATTTAGGAGGCTGCCCTGGCGGTGTCCTCTGGCCTGCTCGTCCCCTCACAAGGAAGGTACCCTTGCTCCTGGAGCTAAGGACCAAAGGCGCAGCTTACGTGAAATGATGTCTCCCATGAAGGTCTTCAACTAACTACCATGGAGAGGGCCTGGTCATCTCAAAAGTGTCAGAGGTCATTCTTGTGAGTCCTTCAGAGGCCAGAAACCTCAGCAAGAGCTGACAGAGGGAAAGCCCACCACTTACCTCTCTCCAGCAGCCGCCCTTCCTATCCCTTTGGAATACATGGCGGATGTGCTTCTACAGAGAAGGGCCGGTGGAAGTGGTGCTGGATGAGACAATCTGCTTCCTCCCTCTGAATCTGAGGGAGGTTCAGAGGCCAGGTGGAGGAGGGAGCTAGTCAGGAGAGGAGGGCTGAGGTCAAAGGCTGATGACCAGTTCCCAGGGTTACGCAAAGTATAGAACTCGGTGTTGTTTAATTAGTAGAAGAGTTAAAGTTCAGTCAGGCCTAGGGAAAGTGTGGCCCCCTTTTTTGCCCACAGCCCTTCATCCCCCTCTTCCCTTTGTAAAAAAAAAAGGGGGGGGGAGGGGAGAACATGGCCAGTTCAAACCTGACTCAGGAGGGCTCTGCAGAAAAAAAATTTCTAATCAGGAGAAAGCAGAAATGGAGGGATATAATTGGGAACAACTGCTTTTATTGCTCCCTGCCTCTTGTGGGCTGGCCTCACAGTTGTTCTGTAGCCAAAGCTGACCTTGAACTCCTGATCTTTTCTGTCTCTACCTTCCAAGGGCTGGAACTACAGGTGAGAGTTTCTACCCCTGTTTCCTTTCCTGTGAGCAAGAACAGCAAGTATTGGAATATTTTTTTTCCTTTTTTTTTTTCTTTTGTTTCTCTTTTTGAGTATTACAAAGTTTTATTTAGACAAAAGTTTCATATGGAAATGTACATGACCCAATTCTACACCAAGTCAATCAATCCCTTTGGGGGGGCTCCTACGCTGAACAGCCATTGTTTAAACTCCTTCCAAGGCTTCTAGCATGATGATGCAGTTCCCTCTTAGGACCACCATTCTGAAGTTGCCCACTGGTTGCCTTCTCCACACACTCATCAGTCATGAGATTCATTCCTTGCACATGTCTGCCATCACTTTTCAGTGATGATTCCTCTATAAATTTCTTCAGTTTGGGAGCATGGGCCTTGCTCATGCGACTCCTCAGCAACTCAGCACGACTTGAAATATTTCTTCTCTTTTGTTTGGGGGGGTGGTTTTGAAATGGGGTCTCTCTGTGTAGTCCTGGCTGTCCTGGAACTCACTCTGTAGACGAGGCTGGCTTTGAACTCAGAGATCTGCCTACCTCCGCCTCCTGAGTGATGGGATTAAAGGTGTGTACTACCACTGCTCAGCTGGAAATATTAAAGAGCAAACAAGCTGTTATGTCCATGTGTATAGTTAGTAATATTTTTAGTAGTTCTGAGGGGAGATTAAGTAAATTCAAACTAATGGAGATAAAGGGCCATTTGTTTCTGTTTTCCTCTTCACTTAGAAGAGGAAAAAGATCATAGCACTGGGATTGCTGTAACTGTGCTCAATATCCCATATGACTTGAGTTTGGAATAAGAGGAAGTGTAGGGAAAGCTTCACTCTCTTGGTAGGAACTCATCAGGACTAGAGCATGTCGAAGTTCTTGCCTGATTGGGCAGGACACTTTAAGGACAGAGGCCAGAGTTTATTGCTCAAAGGCTCACCATCACCCCTGACTGAAGATAACTGGAAAGTTGCCAGTTTAGCCAATAAAATGGTATGACCTGTGCCACAGGCATGTGCTATGAACTGGATGAGGTTCTTCTCTTGGTCAAGGAGATGTCATGTACAGAACCATGTGCAAGATGGCTCAGTGGGTAGAGGAACCTGCCTCCAACCTGATAACCTGAGTTTGGTCCCTAAACTCACATAACAGAGGAAGAGAACTGACTCCCACAAATGTCCTCTGTGTTCTCTGTGTAGCCTTGGCTGTCCTGGACTCACTTTGTACACCAGGCTGGCCTTGAACTCACAGAGATTCACCTGCTTCTGCCTCTGTAAGTGTTGGGATCACAGGCCTAAGCCACCATGCCTGGCTAATTTATGCAATTTTCAACAGTACTTTTGCTTGATATTTTAAGTCTTATTTCTCCTCTGTTATTTGTATCATCCTGAAAGGGGTTCTCTCTCTCTCTCTCTCTCTCTCTCTCTCTCTCTCTCTTTCTCTCTCTCACACACAGACAAGAGGTAGTGCATGCCCATAATACCAACACTCAGAAAATTGCAGGATTTGAGAGTTGGGAGGCCAGCCTGAGATACACAGTGAGTTTGTGGCCACCCTGTCTTCAAAAGAGAAAGGAAAAGGAGTTCAGAGGAGTCAGACTAGACCACATAGTGTTGCTAAAGCCATAAGGGAGCAGGCCCTTTCACCCATTGCTCTGAGGAACAGTGGCTGGAACTCCCTGATAGGACATTTGCTCTTTGAGCTGCCAATCTACCCAGGAACCCAGCCTATGGTATGCTTGCATAGGCACAAATACCAACAACAGCACTGTGAAAACGATGGCTCCTCCCTCTCAGTACTGACGGAAAGATCCCTAGGGCATCTAAGTGGAAGAAAGACTACAGGGAATTATAGTACTGCCAGGCCTTTAGTAACAGAAGGATGTTGGGGGAGGAATGGGCAGAAAAGGGTGTAAGAGTCGACAATATTTAAACATACCACATACATACATACATACATACATATGTATATATATGTATATATGTATATATACATACATACACACATATATATATTTTTTTGAGACAGGGTCTGCGCTATTTCAGGTTGGCCTCAATGCATAACCAAGGCTCTTGAACAGTGGCTCCTCCTGCCTCTGCCACACCATTTATATAGTGCTGAGGATCTACATGAGGGCTTCTCACTGCTAGGGAAGCACTCTACCTACTAGATTTTCTTTTCTTTTCTTTCTTCCTTCCTTTATTTATTTTTTTTTTTCAGACAGGGTTTCTCTGTGTAGCCCTGGCTGTCCTGGGTCACTCTGTAGACCAGGCTGGCCTCGAACTCAGAGAGATCTGCCTACCCCTGCTTCCCTTAAGTGCTTTGATTAAAGGTAGGCACTACCATGGTCCCAGTTCTATTTTTGTTGTTGTTTGTCTTAGTTAGGGTTCTATTTCTGTGATAAAACACCATAAAAGCAACTTGAGGAGAAAATGCTTTATTTCCTCTCACATGTCCCAATCACAGTCCCTCATCCAAGGGAAGTCAGGGCAAGAATTCAAAGTAGGAACCTAAACTAAAGCAGAGGCCATAGAGGGATGCTGCTTACTGGCTTGCTCCTCCTGGCTTGCTCAGCTGCCACCTTAGAGCACCCAGGATCACCAGCCAAGGGGTGGCTACTGCCCACAGTAAGCTGTGCCCCCCCCATATCAATCATCAGTCAAGAAATTGTAACCCAGGCTTGCCCACAGGACAATCTAGTAGGGGCATCATCTAAATTTTGGTTCCCTTTTCTGAAACAGTAGCTTGTATCAGGTTGACATAGAACTAGCCAGCATAATGTTCATTTGTTTTCAGGACAGTGTCTTCTATATGGTTCTGTCTAGGCCTGACTTTATGATCCACCTGCCTCAGTGTCTTGAGTGCTGGGATGATATACCACCATGCCTGACTTAGTTTTCTAATTTTTTTAAAACCCATCAATATGTCTGTTATGCAAAAAGGCCTTGACTTGATGGCCAATGAGTGTCTCAGTGCTGTGTAACACAGAGGCTTGGAAAGAGGGGTCCTAGTGCAGGACCTAGGGTGCACTAGGGTGTCAGCACCTAAGAGAAGCAGGGAAGAGTGGAGGAAGCCCACTTCAGAGGAAGCCTGCCCGGCAAAATAATTTCTATTAGCTGATAATGTCCTATTGTCTGCAGTTTAATCATTATCTTGCTGTTGGAGTGTACCAAATTCCAAATATTCAAGGGCCATTTCAAAATACTGTATACCAGAATCTGTGCTGGCTGCTTTCCCGACATCGACTCATCAGCTCTACTGGGATAGTACTACGGCCAGCTTACAGAGGGGGGAAGAAACACACACACTGCTGTTCACTTGGTTTGAGTGCTTGCCCTCGTCACAGACTTAGGGGAGATGAAGTTCAAGCTCCTCACTAGATGACCGTTTCATAGGTCTTCTAAGTGTTAATAAAGAATTGTCCAAGCCTTCCCTGGCTGTAACTCAGCATCCACTTGGTTTTCTTCCTTCCCTTTCTGCTTTTTGAGACAAGGTCTTAATATGTATTGAGGCTAGAATCAAAACTCTCAATCCTTTTGCCTCAGATGATTGTTTTCCTTCATACAAAGATATAACTTCTCCCACCAGCTGTTTTTCTCTGGATAGTCACAAGTTTCTTTAGAAAGCCCCCCAAATCAGGGTCTTTGCCCACACATACTGAATTAGAGTATACTTGTATGCATCCCAGACGAGCACAGTGACAGCACAGCCTTTGCAATCATGTGACCAGTTCTTTTTTTAGAAGTTCAGTTTCCATGTTGCATCAAGTTGTAACTACTCCAACAGGTGGAAGTTACCAGCCCAAGCATTCCCTGGTTCTCAGTGCTCAAAGCCAACATTTTTGGGATATCTGCTGGGATTCTATTCCTGAAAGAAAAGGCCCTCAGCATGATTCTTGACCAAGAGGAAAAAACACCTGTCTTAGGCTACGCTGCTCAACATTGCCATCAGGAAGACAACATGGTCAAAAGACAGTGCTGCTGCACTCACCCACATTGTCCTCTGGCTGTTTCCCTCACTCACTCTGTGGTGGCAGGTTTCCTCAGCATCTCCACTACCAGCCTAACATCAGCTTCTCTCTGTCTCTGTCTCTCTCACACACACAGCTTCCCTTGGCTTCCACTGGCTTGGATGATCCCAAATCTCTTTTCTTTTGGTTCATCTTAGATTGGTTTAAGAAAGGAAAAAGAGCTGGGCGGTGGTGGCACACGCCTATACTCCCAGCACTCAGGAGGCAGAGGTAGATGGATCTCTGTGAGGTCGAGGCCAGCCTGGTCTACAGAGCAAGTTCCAGGACAGCCAAGGCTACACAGAGAAACCCTGCGTTGAAACTTTTAGAAATTTTAGTCCTATCCAGAGCTAGAGGCAAACTTTTTATAAGGGTCCAGAGTAGAGTGCATGCTCTGTAAGAGTAAGACTGAGGGGTCGATTCCCTAGCATTTAAAGCAAAACTCTAAAGGCATTCTGTGTGTGTGTGTGTGTGTGTGTGTGTGTGTGTGTGTGTGTGTGTACGTGTGTACACACACACACGCATAGCTGTGTACATACCATGTATGTGTATGGTCAAAGGACAGCTGCTAGTTGATTCTTCCCTTCTACCTTGCTGTATTTGTGGTGCTGCATATTCCAGGGTAGCTGGCCCTTGAACTTCTGGGCAGTTCTGTCCCTGCTGCTTTTCCCATCTCACTATTGAAGTATTGGGGTTGCAGATTGTGCCACTGCAACTGGCTTTTTATGAGGTTCCAGGAATGGAATTCAGGTTGTCAGGTGTGCATGGCAAGTACTTTTTACCTACTGAATCATCTTATTGGCTTCCAAAATCCTTGTATCCAGTAAAGATTTGGGAGATAATTCCCTGCTTCTATGTGGCCCCATTTTCCTCCACTCTGAGTGGAAACAAGATAGGAAAGCACACATGGGTCTTCTGGTGCATTGCTCTTAGGGGTTGGTTTGATGATCCATTGAGAGAAAAGAATATCACATTTAATTCCCCTCTCATTTTCTTTCTTTTTTTATTTAATTTTATGTGCAATATTATGAAGGTGTCAGATCCCTTAGAATTGGCAGTACAGACAGTTGTGAGCTGCCTTAGGTCCTTTGGAAGAGCAGACAGTGCTCTTAACCACTGAGCCATCACTCCAACCTCTCCCCCTCATTTTCATTACCTCCTTCAGGTCATTAACTTCTTTCTTCACTAGCCTCCAGTCTGAGTACAGTAACATCCACGAGCAGGTAATTTAACTGGCCTTTGCTGTTGCCTCATATCCTGGGCTGTGGTGTTCTTGTCTTTGGACCCCACAGTAAGACCTTGGCAAGGAGCAAACAGTAGCTTGGGTCCTCCTGTGGTTATTGAGTAACCCCCTTCCATGGAGCATTGGCAAAGCACATAGCACAAAAGCCAGGGCATGCCCAGCTCCTCCAGACTGTCAAAAGATCTTAGGGTGACAATAGCATCTAAGGGTGATAATTAAGGTGGGATGAAGCTTATCAAAAGCTTTCTCATGCTGGCTGCTTTTCACTGGGTCTTGAAGTGTCTTACTGGAATTTGCGCCAATCCTCAGAACAGTTAGAAAGTTCAGTTTGGGTTTCAGGGAAATCAAACAGCAAGAGTAAATATTTATCAAGCAGGTTCAGTGCACACAGCTGTGGGCCTGAGTGAGATAGAACTAATAAGTTTTTATGTCTGAAGAGGTGCATTTTTTTTTCTGAATTAGCAGATGATACTTCCTTAGTGGAGAGATTATCAAGACTTTCTTAAATAGGCACTACCACTTCTTAAGAACAGAAATACCACTCCCTGGCAATGGGCAAAGAGACTCTTGGTGTTGTTCTTCTATCAGCCAGGGGCAGGGCAGAGGGCAGTCTGCTTTGTTCATCCTAGCTCAGTGACTGGCTTGGTGGCCAAAGCTGTTTCATGCCTCAGGCACATAAGAAACAAACAAACAAAAAACCACCACCAACAACAAAAACCTCAGAATACTGAGCAAGGTTGGGAGGTTGCACAAGAGAAAGGTACACGGGGTCAAAGCTCACTGCATGTACATTAGTTCACAAGTTGTAGGTACTAAGAAAAAAAAAAAAAAACCCTGGAGGACAAGCAAAGCATGAAGACAAGAGTGGAAGAAAGTCCCCAGAGAGACTGCAGTGATTTAGTCTGCCCTGGAAGCAGCAAGAAGAGACATAGCTAAAGCTGGGCAAAAGCATGTGCTGTGACGCATGTAGACCAATTACAGGATTACTGCCTTTTAGGCACATCTTCCAAGCCTTGCTCTAGCAACACCTCACAACTTCATTGAAGGGGCCAGGAAGACACCAGGGATGAATGAAGCATGGCAATTCTGGAACTCAGTTAAAAATCTGAGGCTGAGGGCTAGAGAGATGGCTCAGCAGGGAACACCACTGACAACTCTTCCAGAGGATCCAGGTTCCCAGCACCCACATGGCTGCTCACAACTCTCTAACTCCACTCAAAGAGGATCTGATGCTCTCTTCAACAGGCACTGTATGCATGTGCTTCAGACACATGTATTTAAAAAAAGCTCACACAAAAACAAAAACAAAACAAAACAAAAAAAAAAAACAAAATGAAAGAGGCCCTCCAACTATGGGGAAAGCAGGTGTGTCATGCCTTGAGTCTAGGTGCATGCTAACTATTCAGGGAATGAAAGGTTTATTAGCTATATGACATGGCAGGTGTAGAGACAGAGGCTCAAGAAGTTCCTAACAGGACTTGGGAGGTTAGGAGCATGGCAGACTGAAATACCTGTAGGTTTCCCCTGCAACTATCTCCAAGGGCTTTGGTGCCACAAAAGAGATGCCCAAACATATCTATTGCATGGTCAAGGGAATTAAGGAACACTGACATCTGTCTTCAAGTTACCACAGAATCAGCCTCCCAGCCCTTTCCTTCTACATCATCCCTCTGTGCTGGTTCAGGCCCTAATTTCTTATAAATCGATTGCAACTGGGAACTCTTCTCGCTTTAAACAGATTCAGCTCTTCAAGTTCCAGCTTGACATCTGTATTGGTTTCTAATTGCTAAAGGATAAACACAAATGACAAGGTTTCATTGTGTAGCCTTGGCTGTCCCGGACTCGATTTGTAGACCAGCCTCTTAAAACTATGCTCAGCTCTGGCCTGGAGAGCTGGCTCAGCAGCAAGGCCCACTTTTCTTGTAGGGAGTGTGGATTTGACCTTCACCGCCCACAAGGTGGGTCCAATCCCAAACTCCCAAAGCCTCAATGAGTCTCATTACTGTGTTCACCTGCTCATGTTCTACTGGAACCCTGACTCTTCTATGTCTTTCCTTCTGATGAAACTCAGCTAAGAACAACACTTAAAGTCTTCAGGCAGACATAATCTTCTGGTTATGTCTTTTTTTTTTTTTTTAAGATTTATTATTTATGCAGCATTCTGCTTGCATGTACATCTGCACACCAGAAGGCATCAGATCTCATTAGAGATGGTCATGTGGTTGCTGGGAATTGAACTCGGGACTTTTGGATTTTTTTTACCCTCTGAGCCATCTCTCCAGCCCCTTCTGCTTATGTCTTACATCTCAACACTTCACTAAAATTTAAGTCTCTCATAGAAACAGGATCTATGGTGAGTCTTATGCCAAGTGTGCTCTTTGGACACACAGAACCCTGGCACCATCTGTGATCACATTCCTCCAAGCCCCACCCTAGACCAGCTTAAACAGACTGCTTTACCAAGGGTCTCAGTGAATGCCATGCACATGTGAGAGGCATGAGTAGTTTGTTCAGTAACTGTGAATGAAGAGGCACAAATCTAGATTCATTTCCCTGCATACTACCCTCTGTTTACATTTCTTTACTTTCAGAACAAACCCATTTTATCTTTAGTTTTGAGACAGGTCTCATGCAGCTCAGGGGTTTGAACTTGCCGTGTAGCTGAAGCTGTCTGGCCTTGAACTTGATCTAACCTGGAATTATAGACTAGTACCACCACATTTTGGCAGGGTCTATGGCCCTTGTGATCTGACCCTCCTTTCCAGCCACTTTCTTTATAGCAGTTGTAATGACTGTCCCCATTTCAATTCAGCCTCTTCCCTCAGAAATCACATACCTTATTTTCTCTTACTGGAACCTCAATCTCTAACCTCCCATTCCCCTCTCCATACTCCAACATGCTCTATGTCTTACCTTCATTGCAGATTTCTTTTGGGATGGTGCTAGGGATCAGACCTAAGGGCCTTGTACAATGAAGTTAGGTCTTGTTTAGTCTCACTCAGCTTGTTCTGAAGATAATTATGATTGGTAATTCTGTTTACTGTTGTCATTATCTTATTGAGTCAGAGGCTCACTATGTGGTCCTGACTGGCCCAAGGCTCACTGCCTCTACTCCTAACTGCTGGGAATAAAGGTGTGTGCCATCATACACAGCAAGATTAAGCTATTTAAAATCCCTGCACCAAGTTCCATGATTACAGTTCATTGAAGGCAGATGGCACCTTTCTTGTCTTCCATTTTGTTAAGCATACAGAATAGTTTAGTAGTTGACAAATTCACTTTTTGAGACATGGTGTAGCCCAGCCTGTCCTGGAATTTACTATGTAATATAAGTTGGCCTCCAACTCTGTTTTCTGGAGTGGTTGGTTCATGGACATGCGCTGCCATCTCCAGACTGATTACTTTTGGGGGAGTGAGACAGGGTCTGTTTGTGTTGTCTTAGCCATTCTGAAACTTGCCATGTAGCTCAGTCTGGACCTTGAGCTCACAAAAGTCCATTCACCTCAGCCTCCAAGTACTGGGATTAAAGGTGTGTGCCATCACCCCTAGCCTATTTCTTAAATGTTAGGTGTTCAAAACAAAAAGAGGGTAGTAGCCATTTTCTAATACCCATCCAGATTGGAAAGTATGATTTAACTATCTGACCATCTCAGATCAGCTGGCCACTGGGATAAGACATTTATATACACATAGCAAATCCACATTAGTTTCAGCTTAACAGGTCTGATAGCTCCTTCCTGCTTATATGATAAGCAGGGCAGGCCTATTTTAAGTGGCAGACAGACCTGGGTTTGGAATTTCCCCTCTAGATTTCACCATTTTTCAAGGATGGCTACATCCCTTACTTTCTCGCACCTTTTGAACTCCCTTTACTATAGGTCCTTCTGTTGAGGTCGGTGGTCTGTATATTTATTAAGTGCTGGTAGGTGTTAGAACACTCCGCTGGTGATGCCTACTAATTTTCATTGTAAAGTATTTTAAAGTAAATTCCAACCATGATTAATTTATGCATCTTTAAAAATATATGGGGGCTGGGAAAGATGGTTCAGCAGTTAAGAGCACATGGGTTTTTTTGGTGTTTTTTTTTTAACCAGAGGACTAAGGTTCTAGTCAGAACATTCACATAGTGGCTCACAACTGTAACTCAAAATTCCAGGAAATCTGATGCCTTCTTTTGGCCTCCACAGGCATGGCATGCATATGGTACACAGATAAACACATAAGCAAAACCCATGAATACACATGTAACTGTTGTTACCATTACCATCAACTGAACAGCTCCTCAGTCTTACCATCTAATATCCAACGCGTAATCAAACATTCCTAATTATATAAAAGTATGTTATGTTCAAAACCTGTTATATTTTATTTCATAAATGTCTTGACATGTGTAATAACCCATCTCCCCTTTTAAGATCTTAGATGGGTGTGTACCTGAAGACAGAAAGCAGTGTTGGATCCCTGGAGCTACAGTTATAGGTAGTCCTGAGCTGCCTGCGGTGGGTGATAGGAACTAAACTCCAGTCCTCTGGAAAATGCACTTTCAACTACTCAGCCATTTCCACCAGCCAGTCCCCTCCCTTTATGTTATTCACTGTTAACGAATGCAAGTTAAGAGACAATATAAACTTACATCCAAGACTTTGGATGTAAGACTGGGAGTCAGCTGCTAAATAAGACAAGCATTTTGTCTGAGGAAGGAAGACCATTTAGTTTGGGCAAAAAAAAAAAGCTCTTGGCTTGATCAGAAGTCATAAAATCACGCCATGTTAGGTCACTGAATATGGCCCTAGGCAGTCTCAGAAGCAGCCCTCTCTGAACTGCAACATACTCAAACCTACACAAGTTCCCATGTTAGAGAAAACTGATGACCCCTAGTGTACTTACTAGCACAAATTAGAGTTTTAAAGTTTTCATTAACAATCCCAAGACAGTGAGATGGCAGACTCATTTACAAGAAAACCACCACACATTGTTCCTCCTCATTAATTTATCATTTAATATAAATGCTGACAGAAAGCAGATAAAGACCTTGTAGACACTTTCATATATTTACAATCCAAAAGGTGAATCACCTCCTTCTATTTGTTAAAATGAACCCTTTTATCTGCAACTCACAAGAGCCTTAAATCCTAATTAGGAGCAACAAGAGGCTGAGTCAGTTTCCAAGGTAATAAAGGAAATAGCACTTTAACAAAATGTGGCATCTTTAATATAAACAACATGCACACAAATAATACAAAATTGAGAGAGAAGGCCTTAATCTTCTCAAAAATATGCAACAAGCGGAACATGTACTCGTTCAGATCCATAGTTCTGTAGCCCTAAACACACTATTTCTTTTTTTTCCACCTAATGTGTTTTGAAGGCCGTTTAAAAAGTGGAAATATTAAATAGATTAAACAAGAAAAGGAATGTTCCATTTCAAGTTAGATTCTTTTTCTTTTTTCCTATTAAAAAAAGAACTTTCAGAAGATAATGCCTCCATACAAAATCTCACCTTTGGCCAGACGCTAAGAAGTTAGTCACAGGCTGGTGAACCCCAACCCATTGTTTGTTCTCAATTGGAAACATTTGGAAAAATGTAAATTTTCACAAAATTCATTAATTTAAAAGTCAACTGTTACTTCAAGACTCAATCCAAAAGAAATCTGAGCAGGTGGGTAGAGAATGACACAAAAAGAATAAGGAACTGAGGCAATGGAAAAATACAGGAATGTAGGAAAATCTTTTAAAATAGTATTTTATACAACACTGATTCTGAGAAGGGAAGTCACACGACCTGAAACTGCAATTTCATAAAGCCATCTCTATTCTGACTCAAATCTCATGGGCTCCTTTATTAGCTTAGATTACTTTTGTTAAGTATACCTCTGCAGGGCACAATCACATACAATCAATACGATTGGTAATTACACAAGCTCTATCCCAAGCAAATATGAATCAATGTTATTTTTTTTAAAAACAAAACAAAACAAAAACTAAGTAAAATCCACCCAAAAAGGTGATAATGACTGCAGAATGTCTCAGGAGACTAGTATGAGCCAAGAGACCAATTGACCATAGTCAGGGAAGGGTGGCGGGGGTAAAAGGGAAAAGACCACACACGAAGAGGAACCTCACAACTGGAAAATGTTTAGGTGGGTGAAAGGTTTTTTATAACCCTGGTTCACTTTCTGTATTACTCCTGGAAAGTCACAGATTCATTAAAAAGTAAGATTCTGAGGCCTAGGACCTGTGAATGATTTTTTTTTTCTTTCAAGTTCTTTTACATCCAGAAGGTGGGAAGACAAAAAGATGAAAAAGAGGATAAGTGAAAAGTTGGAAAAAAAAAAAAAAAAACCAAACCAAAAAGCAGATGGGGGAAAAATTTCTCAGGACTTAGCTAAACAGGGAGTGTAGAGCTAAAAAGCAAAAGTTGTTATTTCTCTGTAAATAGAGAAACAAAATTTTACGGTGTGTTTGGATATTACTGTGAAATGCCAGCCAACAAACAGAACAGGCTACCCCAATAAATTATAAAGATGCAATTTCAAAAAGGAGACTAAAACCAAACACAGAACGCAGACCATTATCCCCAGCATTTGTTTGCATCCATTTCTTGGCCTTTCATGCACTTACTGGAGTTGGGACCACCTGACAGTTTCCAGTTATAAGATGACTCTGAGTGTACAACCTAACATGGGAGCCAAAGACTTGTGAGCTCTGCCTACTTAGCATTAAAAGAGAAAACATAAAACCAAATGATGAACTAACCAGAAAGTGAGTCTTCAATACAAACAAACAAACAAACAAAACTCACTTTATCTACTATACAACATACATTAAGATAACAAACTCCACAGGATTTCATTTTTCTAAATACACATTTTTCTGACACAGTATTGTCTTAAGGTTTAAAATTTCCACCTTGGGTTACAATGCCTTAGTTTCTTGTGAAAATGAAGGTTAAATTCAGGGAAATTCAGTGTGTGTCTGAAATCCAGAGGCTTTAAGAACAATTCCAGTGCTAAGGGAAGTCCCTTCATCATAACGGGATCCCAAGGACTCTTTACCACTTTATTCAGTGTAGCATTGAAAGCCTACCTACTGAGAACACACTTATTACAAGGTGTCACTTACTCCTGGGGGTGGTGGTTTCCTATTCCTTATTAATGAAATTAGTATTACTAATCAATTACACTCTTACTTAGGAACACACCTTTAGAAATTACAGAAACAGAATCTTAAATTTTCAAACAGTATTATTTCCTATGCCTTTTGAAAAAAACAAAACAAAACCAGCTTTCTTTGAAGTGGCTCAGAAAAGCTGACTAAGAACGTTAAAAAAAAAATAATAATAACACAATTTACTCCCAGCAAGTCGTTTCAGCAGGAATTTTTTTTAAAGCTAAGCTGAATAAATAAATAAATAACAAAAGTCACAGCTGTCCAAGGTAGACATGGATGTGTTTCTGCGAAACAAGCATGCAGGTAAAATGGTGACAGTAGTAAATTTCTTGTTGTGTTCACCAATACGGTGGAGAATAAACAGTCTCAGAGAAGTTGGTTAATCTGAGTTCTATTTTCAGGAGCTGAGATCCCTTTGCAACACTATAAGCATGTATTAACAAGATTTTAATACACTCAAACCTTTTATAGGGCAAGTGTGTAATAGTGTAATACTGAAGCTAATTTGCAAGGTCATTAACTCCTCCTGAAAACTAATTAGGCCATATCTTTTACTAAATCATTACAGATTTTTTTTCCACAAAGATTTCACATATTGAATTCTTAATTTTTTTAAAGCCCAAATGGAGAATATGGTAAAATTTCATTCTATCACTATTTTGTACATATAAATAATAGCAAATTAATCCCATTTAGTGAAAATAAGGGGTCCCTGAACATAAGCTGAACAGGTACTAACTACAGTTAATCATTTCTCACAAGCCTTGAGCTCAGGAAGAAGCCCCAGCCCCATGACTTGACCATAGTGAAAGTACATTGTCCTCTAGGCACAAGTGAAAGTAGAAAAACACTGAAGATACTATTACATCAAGACAGTCCCCAAAAGGGAGAGTGAGTTGCTTAAACAAATATTGTCAAGGATGACATTTACTGGTTTAGAGAAACTGATAAATTTTCATTACTTTTACATTTTATAAGGCCAGCTAACCTTAACAGTTAACTTCTGACATCTACACAGTACAATCAACTCACAAATACTACCAGGTTTCATAATCAAAATGGCTACTATTTCCCCTAAAACCAAAACAGAGTAAAGCACAAGTCTTTGGCGCTCCTTAAAGACATAGCAGGTTATCATTCTTTACCAGACCCTTTGCTTGCCTGCCAGTAGGGCAAATACCACATCTGTGCATCACTGAGTAATAACGCCATTAGAAAAGGCAACTTCACAGAAGTCATTGGCTAAGCGAATTCATTTGAATGCTCCATTTAGAGGCAGCAAACTGTCACTGTTACAGATTGGGTAAGTCAAGGGGAAACTGCAGAATGTCAAGGGGTCAGGAAGAAAAGAAAAAAAAGACAATTATGGGAAACGTAGGAACTAAATTTCAAGCTCCCATACTGAAGCTCATGGGAGTCTGATGAGATCATGTATCCAAGTAGCAAGTGAGAATTGCATCAATCTTCTGCTTTTAGGCAAAAAATAAATATGTGGGGGGGAAAAAAAAAGAAGGGAAGGAAGATGAGAGAAGGGAATGGCCCACATTAATGCCATACCAAACAAGTTCTTATACATTCTGAGTAGTTGAATATTTGCAGTTATTATTAATAGTGTCTTGTTATTTGAACATTATTACTAGAAACCTATGCTACAAGTTTTGTTTAATTAGAAAAGTGGTAAGGAATGGCTCTTTGGTCACATCAGAATCAGTAAGTTATCCAGGAGAGGGTAGCTACTAGACTTATCTTGTGTCTATAAATTAGGAAAGTGAGTCTAGATATTTCATTCTCAGTTTTTTACCATTTTCCAGAGACTCACTGAAAACAGAATGAACCAAAGTGCTTTCATATTCACTACAGTAACATGCTGGCTTTGTTTCTGAACAAGTGTGAGCAAAATGCTCCTTAACACTTCCAGAATTTTCTGTGTTCATCTGAGATGATTCTCAAAAAAAGTCATCTTCAGAAGAAACCATTTATGTGAAAAAACACATATTGTTGAGCATGCTGAACACAGCAGCATATGCCTGAAATCCCATTGCTCAGGAGGCTGAAGCAGAAGGGTCTTGAATCCACCAGTTTGGGCTACATGGTTAAGACTCTGTCCTAAAAGGGGTGTGGTGGCAGTGGTGCAAAAGCTCTACTTCCTGTTTGATGGTTTCATTTTTTAATGTCTCTAAAGACACAAATAAAAATCAATGCTTTTTAGATTTTGACAAAAACAGCAGTTAGTCATGAGTTATGCCTCAATTTATTGTTGCCTTATAACACAAAGTTTGTTAAAGGGAGGAAAAAAAAAAAAAACCCTCAAAGTTGTGGGGAGTTTTATTAAATCCCTAAACCTGGCAGTGGGCACAAACAAATACTCCCCACCCCCCAAAAAAAATACACCCAAGAATCGATAAGGGAAAATGACCAAATAACAAATAGCAGAATTGTAGGCACACCATCTTCCACTTTCTACCCAACCCAGATAGGCTATAGAGACTGGGGCTTGGGGAACTCATGCTACCATTTAAGAGACTAATTTTCTCCCTATATAAGAATACATCTAAAGAGATACTAGTGCACCGCAGCACAGTGTGCCTTTTGGGGGTTTCACACACATCACAATGAAAATTTACTTTTATTCTTAAATCCAACAAAACCAATACACAGGATTTCTTCCCCTAGTCATTCTAATTTCCAAAATAAACCATCTGCTTCTAAGACTTAAGAATTATCTGACATGTCCAAAGGAGGTAAGATCTGCCCAAAATCTGTCTACTGAAGGCAAGAGGCCAATAATGTGGCATTTTATAGATGTGCAGAAAAATAAAAATCCTGTCAGACATAACAGTTCTTTCCTTCTCTCAATAAATAATGAGTAACGTATAAATGTAAGACATTTTATCCTAAAAAAAAAAAAAAGGCCAAAAAAGCAAACACACAAATGTATAATATTTAAAATTAAAAGGAAAATGTATGCATCAACTGAGAAATGCCTCACCGTCATTCGGTGCCTCTACCTCCCAATCAGTCATTTTATTGCAACAGCTGCGCTTATGCGAAGAAATCTTTAAAACATACCCGATATATATACAGATATAGCCATGTATATATGTATATATATATATATATAATATATATAAATTTTCATTTAAATAAAAAAGAAAGCTCGAATCCCAAGCCAATATGTGTATATCAAATCCTTGACCAGCCAGGTCTGTAGGGCATAATCAAATTCAATGTGAAATAGTATATAAACACGGTGCCTTGACTGGGCAAATTAAATAATTGCTACTCAAATGAGTGTTCTGTTTGGATTTCCTACTGGTAGGCAATGGCAGGACTATTTTTCCCTTCCCACCCCTATCCCATCCCTACCCCACCCCCACCCACTTGTTTCAATAACAATATGAAATGGACACAGAGCTTAGACTGAGGTGGCTCTGACCTCAGCAGGAGTTAAGGGTTAAGAATATAAGAAATAAGAAAAATATAAACTTTTTCTTTTACCCAACCAAAGCAATGCAGTAACTTATTACATAACCAGTGCTTTCTTGTTTAGAAGTATTATCTAGAAAGGGAAACTGACATCAGACAATAAGAGGGATGGAGTGATTTTATGAAATAGTCCCCCACCGAACTCATTTTACAGAGGTTTAGTAAATTAAGCATATAGTGGTAGCATTAGAATATGTGCAGCAGAACTAAATAAAAATCCTTCCTTACTCTTCAACGTTTTCATAAACGTTTCTAATGTCAGAAAGCCAAGTCTACGAAACCTCACTTCAAGTCATTTATTACTAGTTATGCTAGTAATTCTGAGTGGCAACAAGTAATCGATGCATAAACTATCCTGAAGACTCAGGCAGTTTCTATCTGCCAAATCTCTTATGCTTTTGAAAAGAAAATAAAAATTCTACTGAAATAATATGTCCCTCTTTATTGCAGTTCATATCAAGTGTTAAGGTTTATTTAATTTTGAAATTTTATGTGTGTGTGTTGTCTGTGTGTATGCACATGCACTCATGTGGGCCTGGTGCCCACACGGGCCAGAAGAGGATTTGAGATCCCTTGGAAGTGAAGTTACTAGCAGCTGTAAGCCTCCCTGTGGGTGCTGGGAAGAATCTGGGTCCTCTGGGAGAACAGCCAATGCTCTTTTGCTGAGCCATATCACCAAGTTTTAGGACATGGTTCATTGTCCTGGTTTGTCCATTCTAGAGTTTCAAAAGAAGTTTAATTTGTACGCACAGCTCCAATTTTCCAACATGAGCTTAACACAGGAGAACAGGAATTATTTATTTTTATTATTAACAATTTGAAGCTCATTTCTTTTTCTTATTTTGGTTTTCTCCTGCCTCAACATCTTGAGTTCTGGGATTACAGGAATGAGCTATCATGTCCAGTTTAGAGTTCGTTCTTAAAGTAATCTTCACTTAAATCTAATTAAACACTGTAAGTACTAAATAGGCTTTCAGATTTTGAGGCGAGAATGCGAGGAATCCTTAACATGGAAATGTGTAGCTCAATATAATCAACTGCCTGTTGATATCTCTAAAAAGTTGAAATTAAAACCCTCAGATAAGTTTTACTGTTGTAAAAAAAAAAAAGTGTCTACCCACAAAGCCAGTGATCCAGAAACAGGGTGGGTATGGGCGGGGTTAAAGAATCGCTCTAATAAAATCAGTTTGCTGCACAGTTTCTAATAACCCAATCTATTACCACAGAATTCTTGGAAACGGTGCTTTTTTGTCTATTTTAGTTTACAGTTGTGAGAGTTGGAAGGACTGGGAGAAAGGAATTATACACTGGGTATGTAATAATACCAAAATACAAGAAAAACCTACTTCATTAAGATCATACAATTAATCAAACAGAGTGTATATATAATATCTTCTTTTTTTTTTAAAGCCCTGGATCCAAGGCGTCCAAAGTTATTAAAATAAAGTTCATTCACAGAACAAAAACAAATTTAATCTGAATTGCTTGCAGATACTGCTAATTTTCTTTTCTTTAAATTAAAAAAATGCATTAATGTGAACTATGTGCAGGTTTGTTTAGTTGTAGTATTTGTGCACATCGCCTTGGCTGCTTTTCCTGGATTTTGCTGAGCACTCAGAAAGTTTAGAAGTTATCCATTCTTCTATCTCTATGCCCCACAAACTGATCAGGAGCAGAAGGTAGAAGCAGGCGCCCATATCCTAGGGAGCAGAACTGGAAGTAACTCCTGATCTCTGGGAATCACTGTTATCTCCTCCTCCCTCAGGGTCTTCTGACAGGTTCATAGAGCTGGTCTTGTCTGACAGGAGGCTGAGATTCTCTTGTGTCAAAGCTGATCCATTTGGTACATCACTGTTAATTACATGAAAAACAGTCAGAATTTTTAAAAGAGCAATTACTCTGAATAAAATTCAATCAATAGGACATATAATTTAGTACTGTAGAAAAATATGAGCCAGGAGTAGTGGCACATGCCTTTAGTTCAAGCAGGAAGCAGAGACAGGCTGATCTCTTTCAGTTTTAGTCTAGCTTGGTTCCAGGCCAACCAAGGCTACACAATGAGACTGCTTCAAACAACCAAAACAAAGGAAACTATATAAATAGCTTCCAAATTTTGGTTTTAACTCCTCATTCACATCGTAGCACACAGACAATAAACTAAAACTGACAAGTTTCCTGTTCTATATATACAGGTTTGTCAGAACACAACCTGCCTATTTGCTTATGTATCTATTACCACTTACACTGAGCTAAGGAGTTTACTTGGGAGGCAGGAATAGATAGTGAGACTCCTTCCCTGAAATTGCCAATATCTCAAAAGACCCATACCTTAAAATATTGGCTGCCTGGCATTTAAGAAAAAGTACTAACCTCCAATTTACCAAGTTTATTTGTATGGGAATTAATTTTGAACCTACGCTAGCATATATTTAAAATAGCCAAAAGCTAAGAAGATAGTAACAAGAACAATTAGAAATTCTTTGTTTATTTTGATTTTTTTGTTGTTGTTGAGACAGGGTCTTTCTACATAGCCCTGGCTATCCTAGGACTCACAATGAGTGTTAATATTAAAGGCATGTGCCACCATGCCCGGCAACATTATACGGTCTCATTACAGGTAATGAGGAAGTTGGCATAGGACTATGCATTCAAATGCCTCAAATGTGTCAAAGAAAATAAATAAGAATACACAAGTGAATTAAATACCATATTATGGGAGGGATCAAATAAAAACATGGCTAGGGACGGCCTGGAGATGGTCCAATCCCACCTTGTCTCAAAAGACCAAAAAAAAACAAAACAAAACAAAACAAACAAACAAATAAAAAACAACAATTTAACCCCACAATACTAAGCAAGGCTAAATGCTAAACTAAATGACATTAAAAAGACAGGTAAGATATCAATGATGAGAAATGGAAAACACTGGTGTTTAAAAAAGTACATATCTTTAATCTCAGAACTCTGGAGGCAGAGGCAGGTGGATCTCTGTAAATTCAAGGCCAGCCTGGTCTACAAAGTGAGTCCAGAACAATCAGGGCTCTGCTACACAAAGAAACCCTGTCTCAAAAAGTAAAGCAATGCAAAACAAAAAAACTGTCTCAAAAAGCAAAGCAAAACAAAACAAAATAAAAAAAAGTTCCTATCTTTATAAAAATTCTATCACCCATGGCGTGCATATTTTTGTAACAAAACTGAAATGGGGGAGGAGGAGACAGCTTAGTTTTTGTTAAAATATATGCGCAGTATTTTTGTGAGGTTCTGAGTCAAATAGCCAGTATGAAAACAAAATAAAAACAATAAGATAGGGGATGAGTGAGCTTTTAATCACTTATTAATTTTTATAGTGAGCATATATTCAAAATCATAAGGTTATACTTAAAGCAGTGAGAAGAAGGAAATGTAACCAGAAAATATATTTGTTAGGAATTAACAGATAATTGAACCCTGGTTAAGTGCTAAGTTTTGTGTTGCAAGTGTTTGCCCAGACGAGTCTCAAATTCCCATCTTCCTACCTCAACTTCTTTAGTGCCCACAGCTATATCCCACCCCAGCTCCTGAGGTAAATTTTATAACTGCGAGATTTAGTAAAAACATATTCTTTTCTCCTGCTGAGCAGTGGTAGCATACATCTTGAGTTCAAGGCCAACCTGGTCTATAGAGTGAGTTCCAGGAGAGCCAGGACTACACAGAGAAACCCTGTCTCAAAAAACCAATGTATATATTCATATTATTTTTTTCTTTTTATATGAAAACAAACAAACAAACAAAAAACCAAAAAAAAAAAAAAAACATTTTCATAAAGTCACTTTGGGTATGGTCAGATAATATAGATATTTCTCTTTCATGTATGGTTAAATAGGACTATAAAAGCATCCCTTTCCTTACCTGAATGTCAATGTAAGGTCTTCAGCTGGGACCTTGTTTTGTGGTTCTGGCTGTCCATTTTCTGTTTGTTTACTTGTAGCCAATTTGCTTTTCATGTCGACAGAACACTGGTTCTCCTTTAAAAGAAGAAGAAATAAGTCAGTAATCTGTGGTGTAATGGCATAGACCAAAATCAGACATGAACTAATGATCCAAAAATCATTCCTGGTTCATTGAGAATTAACAACAACAACAAGGCAGATGACAGAGTATACACAAAAGCATAACAGTACAACCTATCTTCTCACTACCTTTGGAAAATGCCACAAACCAACATGAAAAAATAGCACAGAGAACAGTGTACAGACTACATTTACTTAATGAAAATAGGCCAATATCTTAAAGGTCATAAAACCCAGCATTTTATTGTGTAAACATATCTTAATATTACAAAATCCAAAAGATTAAGCCTCATCCCATCTGCTTTCCTAATGAGTATGTTAAACAAAAACTTTAAAATTTCCAATTAATTGCTTTCCCCCCCAAAGTCTATGAAAAAGGGCAAACCCAAAACAACAGGTACTAAGAGTAATGATACAACCAGGTAACAAATCAAGTTTACAAGAACTACTCTAAATATTAGCCACTCTTCAGGCTACCTGGAATGGACTCCAGATGATTCGAAACTCTAAAGGGATACAGAATTTATTTCACCTACCCTCCCTTTTCCTACCTCGGCACTTACCATACTCAATTCCCGGGTTCTCTTCCCAATTTCCCTTTCCACCTGATGTAGTTCCAAGCTTAGCTGCTCACTTGAGATCATTCCAGGCCATTTTGGAGGGGGCTGTGGCTGGCCCGCCAGGGTGTTCACCTCCCTCTGTACTACTAGCCGGTTACTAACAGCCTGGTGCGCAAAGACAAGCACAGGCGTAGCTCAGCACACCTCATGCCACAGAAAGAATACTTTATCTCAAGTATTTACCACTAAACTAACCCCAAGTTTACTATAAAAACAATCCAACTATAAATTAGTTATCTCTTTTTTAGTAGCACTTGAATAAAAATGGTTTTATTTTCAAGAATGTGTCCTATGTGTTAGCATGTAAGTACAGGTGCCTATGGATGTGAAAAGAGGGTGCTGGATCCCCAGGAGCTGGAGTTACAGGCAATTGCAAAATAGGAGTCAAACTTTGATCCTCTGTAAGAACAGTAGCCATATTTTTAGCACCAAAATTATTATTATTATTTTTTACATTTCAAGAAGAAGCCAATTATAAATGTGTATCTTTCTTACTGCTATAACTCCTATATTTTATCTATAAAAAACTCAATGATAGCAAGTATTCCTCCCCCCCAGGTACTCAGACGATATTCTTTTTTTATTAGTCAAGAACTAAATCTAGTTCTGAATTCTCTGAAGAATGGATATCTAACACTTAGGCGAAGGCTTTAAAATTCTGTGCTTACTGTATCCCAAAAATTACTATTTAAGGGGGCTGGAGAGGTGGTTTGGTGGCTAAGATCATATACTGCTCTGTTTGCAGTATCCATGTCAGGAGGTCTACAATTGCCTGTAACTGCAGCACCAGGCAGATCCAATTATCCTCCAGCACCTGTATTCTTGTACAAATACAGGCACATAATGAAACCATTTTTTAAATCAAATTTTAAATCCTTGGGAACTTCAAAACTAGAGCACAAAATAGTTGCAGTGCTAAACAGGTGTATCTCAGTGTAAGCATTAAGGGAGGATGGTGAGTTTGAGGTTAGCTGGGCTTCACAGTGATACTCTATATCAAAACTCTCAACACAATAAAAAGTTATCTGTAGGTATGTACCTCTAGTCCACGTAACTGGGTCTGCTGGCTGATCTGATGATTCAGTTGCTGCAATTCTAGCCGTAGTTGTTCTCTTTCAGCAGATAGGAGGGGTTTTCCATGACTGGCCACTTCTGCCATGGACAATTTCTCTCTTTGGTAAGAAAGAAATAAATCCTGAGGTGACTTTTGTGTAAAATTTTATTTAGTAAAATCACTACTGACTAGAAAAACAAAGCAAAGAAAGCTGAATGCTTTCAAGTATTTATAGCAAGTAAAAAGAATGACTTATACCTCTCAATGAAGTGTCCCTGAGGAGGTATGTTTGCATGAGGTGAATATGGAGAATCTCCCCAGCCACCATGAGCTCCATATGGACTATAATCTGTAAGGGAACAGTTTATTGTGGCAGGATGTAATTCACAAGTTTGAGTCATCTAAGGTACTATAATCAAAAAAAGGCAAAGGCACATTGTTTCTGTATATCTCTCTGTCTAAGACAGTTATCTGCCAAAATGATCATACTGTTACTTGTTTCTTCCCCACTGAACCTTCAGTTTCATATTTTCTTCTCAGTGTGTGCACACTGAGAGTTTGAATGTAGAGGTGATTACTGATGTCAGGTTATCCTCCCAAAGCACTGGGCTTATAGACACACATGTCTGCATTTTATGTGTGTACTGGGGATACAAATTCAGATCTTCTTTATCCAATCAGTCATCTCCTCAGACTCCAAGAATCTATTATTTTAATAAACAAGAGCCATTTAAAGATAAAATCCACAGGCATCTTGTTTTTCTTTTGAGACAGGGTCTCTAGCCCAGAATAGCCTCCAAATAGTGTACTATGTACTCAAGGCTGAATTTGAACATTCTGATCTTTCTACCTCCATCTTCCAAGTGCTAGGATCAATGGCTCGTACCCTAACACCTGGTTTATGTGGTTCTGGGTATTGAATCTAGGGTTTCATGTATATTAAACACACACTCTGCCAACTGAGCTCCACCCCAGCCCCTCAGGGAATCTTAATATATAAACAGTTAATTTTAGTTTAAGCTCTTAAAATTCCCTGAGGTATAATTCTTTATGTTTGTTTGTGTTTTGAGACAGAGTTTCTCTGTATAACTGCTCTGGCTGTCCTGGAACTTGCTTTGTAGACCAGGCTGGCCTCAATTGAGAGATCCCCCTGCCTCTGTCTCCTGAGTGCTGGGATTAAGGTGGGTGCTACCACACCCAGCTTTGCAATTGCTTTCTTACAGGAAAGAGTTTAAAAATCACTGCATTTAAGATTTTTAAAAGCACTGACAGAATTATATTGAGAGTCATGACTACTATTCTGGGATTCTTACCTGAAATACTAATAGATTTTGTGGGTGCTCCCTGAGGTGCCATAGCCTGCATTGGGCCAGCACCCTGATACAGCGTTTTGGATGTTCGAGAGATGGCACCAAACCGAGATACTGTCGGTCGGTCTCCAAATGGGATGAGGTCATCATCACTAGTTTCCACTGCTCTTCTCTGAAGATCCAATCGCTGGTCTCTCATTCCTTTACTTTCTACATTCTGACAAAAAGCAAAACTGAGATTATGGCTAGTTTCTACTAGCCTTATAGAGAGGTTAATAAGAATATGATGCTCTTATTAAAAAATCTTTACTGTCTTTGGATGTCACATAAACATTGCTTTTAGACCACAGTAGAAAATATATGACCAACTTTAAGTACAGGTGACAGAAGATGATAGATCCACCCATTCCTAAACAGTATGTATGAACATTAACTTGTTAGGCAAGCACTTTACCACTGAGCTACATGCCTAGCCCACATATCAATGCTTGAGAGACACTGAGTTATGACTTCTTTCACATATTTGGAAAACTTTTAATGGCATCTATACTACGTTAGGAATTTTGTTATTGTTTACTGATTTAAGGAAATTCATTTTACTTTGCTAATGTTACTTCAGTGTGATAACTTTTTTGAAAGCACCTTACATTACTATTTTATTTCAGCTCATTCTAATGAAAGGTGTCCTATCGTGTAGAAACATACATTTTGCTCATCATTACACAGAAGTTTGGTTTCAATTTAATTTTACCTTATTTGATGGTAGGGACTGAGCCCAGGGCCTCTCTGTCACATTTCCAGTTCCCTTGCAGTTTGTTTTTTATTTAATTTTTTCCCCCTTTGGCCTGTTATCTACTTGAGTTGGTCTTATCTTAAACCAGCTATGTAAACGTTATCTATGAAACCCTACACAAATCAGTAGGGAATGTTTTTAGAATCAACAGGGAAAATGATGTCAAGCAATACCTCTTATGCCAGCAATATCTTTTTTTCTTCTTTTTTTGGGGACAGGGTCTCACTATGTCACCCTTGTAGACTAGAACTCACTAAGGAGACCAAACTGGCCTTGAAGTCAGATATCCACCATCTCTGCCTCCCTAGTGCTAGGATTAAATCCAGACTTAAACAAAACAAAACATAGTTCAAGCTGGCTATGATGTCACTGCCCTTTTGCCCCATTCTCTTAAGCTCTGGAATTCTAGGAATGAGTTATCTGGCCAGGAATACATGTCTAAGTATAACTTTCAGGATTGTGCACAAGGAGTCTCTAGAAAGTGTCCATTGACAATACACATAAGGGGCTGGGGAGATAGCTCAGCGCTTAAGAGTGCTTGTTCTTACAAAGGACCCAGCACTCATGTAGCTGACAACCATCCCTAACTCTAGTTCCTGGGTATCTTTTGATTTCTGAGGACACGAGGCACACCTGTCAAACACTGACATGCATGTGAGCAAAACACTTATACACATAAACTAAATAAACAACCCTAAAAAAAAAAAAAATCTTCAAAAAAATGAAGTTCAAAATAAAAATAATAGTAAAGAATCAGGTTACCCTGATCTAAAATTGTAGCTATGAGAAAGGCTAAGACAAGAGTATCACAAAGTCTGAAGTCAGCCTGTGCTATACACAGTGATTTCAAAGCCAACCCAAAAACTTAAGTGAGGTGCTGTCTCAAAAGGAAAAAGCAGTATCTGGGCACAGTGGTACCTGCCCATAATTCCAGCTACTCTACAGGCCAAGACAAGAGGGATACTTTATCCAAACAATAGGCATTAAACTCAGGGTAGAGGTTACTTTCTAACAGGGAGGAGTGAGGAAGAAAAGGAGTGAGGAGGTTAACTACTTTTGTAAAGTTTTATTTCTACCAAAGGGGGGCAATAAATATATAAAATAATGATATGTAAATACAGAAACATTAAACCTTAGCTAACTAGCTAGTTATTATATTTTCATTTTTTAAAAAAATCCAAAAAAATTTTTGTTAAAAAAAAAGGATTTCTTTACCAAATAAATTAACCAAGTTGGTTGTTTAAACTTCACACTTGTAAGAGTTTTAATTTATTTGGTAAAGAAATCCAAAATCTTTTTTAAAATTAATATCTTGGTTTTCTGAGACAGTGTCTTTATATATAGTCTTAGCTGTTCTGAAACTTACTATGTAGACCAGGCTGGTCTTGAACTCATAGAGAGCCACCTGCCTCTGGCTCACAGGTGTTGGGATTAAAGTCTGGTAGTACCACTCCCTGGCAAATTAATTTAGTTATGTGTCTTTGTACATCTGTGTGAGTATACGCACTGAGCGTGGGTGCTCACGCAGGCCAGAGGAGAGCACTGGATCATCTGGAGCCAGAGTTAAAGGTGGTTGTGAACTGCCCAACATGGGAGCTGGGCACTCAAGTCCTTTGCAATGGCAATATGCTCTCTTAATCACTGAGCCATCTCTCCAGCCCTGAAATCTAGGCTATTGATTAAATACTTAAAATTACTTAATTTGGATCTGAAAAATTATTGGGAAATTGCTACCTGAAATGATATACAATATATTCTTCTTTGTCAAGATAATAAAATGCTTTATACTTAAATGAAACAAAAGCAAAACTCAATTAGTTGTCCCTAAACTTTAATAGATAAAATTTATGTATCTAGATTTATATTCGCCATTACACATACCATCATTTCCACACTCCCTGCTGCCACAACATCTTTGGGTTTTGCATCTTTGGTTCCAATGTAGGAGCCGATGGTATCACATGACCAGGGAGAATATTGGCTATAATCATTTGCTTTGTATTTTCCAGCTATCTTCAGTTCTTCATCTAAAAACTATAGATAAAAGGGGGGAGGGGATAGAAAATGGGTCTATGAGTAAGCAAAACAGAAAAAGCAGGGCACATTTTTTTGGAATTTTGAGACAGGGTTTCTCTGCGTAGCCCTGTTTGTCCTGGACTCACTCTGTAGACCAGGCTAGCCTTGAACTCACAGAGATCTAAGAGATCTACCCACCTCTGCCTCCCAAGTGCTGAGATTAAAGGCATGCACCACCACCACCACCACGCTGTAAACTTGTTTGTTTGTTTGTTTTGAGGCAAGGTTTCTCTGTGTAGCCTTGGCTGTCCTGGACTCACTTTTGTAGACCAGGCTAGCCTTGAACTCACAGAGATCTAAGAGATCTACCCACCTCTGCCTCCCAAGTGCTGAGATTAAAGGCATGCACCACCACCACCAGGCTGTAAACTTGTTTGTTTGTTTTGGGGCAAGGTTTCTCTGTGTAGCCTTGGCTGTCCTGGACTCACTTTTGTAGACCAGGCTGGCCTCGAACTCAACAGAGATCTGCCTCCTTCTGCCAGGATTACAGGCATGTGCCCCTGCACCTGGCTCCCTGTAAAACATATTCTTATATTATTTGACTTGAGAGAAAAAAAAACAAAAACTTACACTCCAATTAGACTCATTATATATAACAAATGAATAAAGTTTGAGACAAGGTTTCATGTATTTCAGGTAGGCCTCAAAGTTGTTATGTAGCCAAGGATGACCTAGAACTTTTGGATCTTCCTGCCTCCGTACCCAATTTACAACGTGTTATGGACTGAACCCAGAGATTTGTGCGTGCTAGGCAAGTACTCTACCAACTGAGCTATATTCTTAGCTCACATTCTCTAATTAAAGGAAAATAAAATCCCTAGCAAAACTAACCAATGAAAAATATTAGTATAGAAATGGAAAAGGAAGGACAACACACATTCGTGATAGCTATAAGCAATGTTTTGCTGGACATAGTAACCCAGACCTATAATTCCCAGCACTTGGGAAGCTGAGGCAGGAGACACTGACTTTGAGGCCATCTTGAGTGAATTCAAGATGAATCTGGCTACAATGTGAGATTCTGTTTCAAAAAAACTCCAAACCAAAACAAATATATTAGCACTACTTTATAGAAACATAAATCTAGTACTCAGAATTATGGCACTATGTCACATAAACCAAGTATGACCTTGATTTTACTATCTCTCCATATTTGCAAATCTTATTTTTCTTTTTTAACTACACTACTGGTTTCTCCATTACTGAACTAAAAACACATCTTAATTTATATGTCTCAATTATTTAAAAATTATGCAAATAGGAACAGATAGACTTTTTATTTGTTGCTTTTCTGGTTTTTCAAGTTAGGGGTTTCTCTTGTGTAGTCCTGGTTGTGCTGAAACTCACTCTGTATACAGCACTGGCCTCAAACCCTGCCTGTCTCTGCCTCCTCAGTGCTGGGATTAAAGGTTCAAGGTCACTCTGTTCTATAGAGTGAGTTCCAGGATAGCCAGGGACTCACAGAGAAACCCTGACTAAAAACAAAAACAAAACAAAATAAACAGAAAAAGTAGAAGAAACAGGTGTAGTACAGAAAGATCACCAAGGTATGTAATCCCAATACTTAGGAAGCTGTAGCAGGACTGCCTTGAGTTTGAGGTCAGCCTAATTCCAAAAAAGACTCCATCTCTAAAAGTAAGCGAGCCAGCAAGCAAACAAAGAAAAACTTGGTAAAATTTAATTTTAATACACTTAATTTAACCTATCATATCCAAGATATTAAAAACAAAGACCAGGTTTGATATCACATGTTGTTAATCCAAGCACTCAGGAAACAGAGGTAGATATATCTCTATAAATTCCAGGCCAAACTGGTCTCTATAAATGAGTTTCAGTGGGGCTGGAGAGATGGCTCAGAGGTTAAGAACACTGGCTTTTCTTCCAAAGGTCCTGAGTTCAATTCCCAGCAACCACATGGTGGCTCACAACCATCCATACTGAGACCTGGTACGCAGGCAAAACATGCAGGCAGAATGCTATATAAATAATAAATAAATCTTTAAAAAAAATTTTTAAATGAGTTTCAGGCCAGCCAGGGGTTATAAAGTAAGTCCCTACCTCAAAAGGCAAAACAAAACAAAAAATTGAATGTTAAGATTTTAGTTTTTGGTACTGAATCATTGGATTCAGTGTAGATTTTATGTTTATAGCATATCACCCCAGCCACATTTCCTGTACTCAACAACTACATGTGGCTAGTGGCTACCATACTGGTCAGTATGGAGTAATCTAGAGAGTTAATAAATCCTAATAAAACTGAAGCAGATGCTTTTCTTTTGTTTTTTGAGACAGAGTTTCTCTGTGTAGCCTTGGCTGTCTTGGACTGCCTTTGTAGACCAGGCTGGCCTTGAAGTCACAGAGATCTGCCTGCCTCTGCCTCCCTGCGTACTGGGATTAAAGGTGTGCTGTGAAGCAGATTTTTTTTTAATGAAAATTAACATACTGATTCTTTTGTGGGTCTCTGTCTGGCTTTAATGGTGCTGGGAGCTGAAACCCAGGCTTCACATACTCTTGTCAAGTCATTAATACTGAACCAACCCCCCCAGCTCACAACTGTTTATTTACTTTGAGTTCAATACTAGAAAACCTTTATCAGTGAGTCCAGTCTTAGGTAAACTACATTAATAGAATGAGGGGTCAGCTAGGTGTGGTACACATATCTGTAATCTCAGCACTCAGGAAGGCAGAGCTAGGTGGATCTCTGCAAATCTGAGGCCAGCCTGATCTACAAAGGGAGTTCAGGACAGCAACGCTACACAGAGAAACCCTGCCTCAAATAAAACAAACAAATAAAAAATTTTTAAAAAAAGAAAAGGAGGTCACTCAGATGGCTCAAGTGGTGCATGTGCTGTGCAAATCTGATGACCTAAGTTTGCAGTCTTGGAACCAAAGAACTGATTCCTATCCTACAAGCAGTCCTCTCGCCTCGATGCATGCCCCTCCCGAAACATACACAAAATGAATAGATGATTAAAGGCAGTTCTGGTAAAAAGACAGAAACAGATCAATGAAACAGAAGAGCTCAGAATCATACTTGATTATCTGTCATTTTTTCAAGACAGGATCTTTCTCTGTCTCTCTATGTAGTGCAGGCTGGCCTCTAAGGTATAATCATTTTGCGTCAGCATCCTACTGTGCTAGAATTACAGGTCATCACACCCACCCTAGTTAACTAATTGTGACAAAGCTGACTGTAGGATACTGAAAAAAGGATGCTCAAATCATTAAGTGGTGTTACACCAATAAGCTATCATTACAGAGAAAAAAAAAACAGACTTTGATTCTAATAGTTCACATAACGAAATTATTACGTATACAATGCTCTATCTGCATGTTCACCTGCATGCCAGAAGAGGGCACCAGATCTCATTGTAGATGGTTGTGAGCCACCATGGGAATTGAATTGGGGTCCTCTGGAAAAGCAGCCAGTGTTCTTAACCTCTGAGCCATCTCTCTAGCCCCCTCACATAACTCAATTCTAAATGGATTAAGGATCTAAATATATAATTCAACAATGAATCTGGAAGAAAACCAGAAAATAGTCTCTTAATTTTGAAACTTGATGAACATCATAATTTGAAACCTGATAATGAAATCTTGGGAACAGATTTCTCGTTTTCTTTCTTTTTCTCTTTCTCTCTCTCTCTCTTTCTTTCTCTTTCTTTCTTTCTTTCTTTCTTTTCCTTCCTTTCCCTCCCTCCCTCCTTTCTTTCTTTCTCTCTCTCTTTTTTTCTTTCTCTCTCTCTTCTTTCTTTCTTTCTTTCTTTCTTTCTTTCTTTCTTTCTTTCTTTCTTTCTTTCTTTCTTTCTTTCTTTCTTCTTCAAAACAGGGTTTCTCTGTGTAATCCTGGCTGTCTTGGAAGTCACTCTGAAGACCAGGCTGGCCTCAAACTCAAGAGACCCATCTGCCTCTGCAACTGCCTCCTGGGATTAAAGGCATATACCAACACCACCTGGCTCTCATAATTTCTTAAACAGGCTACAAAAAATGATAATGGTTAAACTACTAAGCAGGATTGAAAATGACATACTTACTTCTTCTTGATGGAATGCAGGAGGCAATGTCGGTGAAGGTGCAAAAGGAGGTGGAGAGATAACCTTTCTTTCTTCTAACTGGGCCATTATTTCCTTCCGTCTGCGATGTAGCTCATCCAGACTAGGATGGGGTTGGGGAAGAGGAAGCCGACTATAGGGAGGCTCCTGGAAATTGAAAGATTATTTAAAATTGACAAAGAATTCCAGAGCACATTAATTAAGCATATATATTTAACTCAGGAGCAGAACATATACATATCTTAACATTTAGAAATATCAACACTAGACAGAATAAAGAAAAACAAAGAAAGCCAATCCAAACTCTCAAGATCTTCCAAATTTTCTAGCTTATATGGAGCTAATACACAAACTAAGAATGTTCAGATTTATGTTTATTTGTTTTTATTTTAAAACCACGAAGATGGCTCAACAGGTGTAAGCATTGACTTGATTGTAAGCCTGACAATCCAGGCTGTAATCTCTGGAAATCACATGACACATATGTAATCCCAGGATGCTTATGGTGATATGGGAGGAATAGACAGAAGAATCAACTGGAAGTTTGCAGAGGGAGCTAACCTGAAGTATGCTGATCATCAGCAGCAACAACAAAGACCTCATCTAACAAATGGGAGAGTAAGAACTTACCCTCAAGGGTTATCCTCTGACCCATGTGTGGTATGGCAAACGTGCACCTGTACTCTCTCACACTAATTATAAATACATATATATACAAAAATAAAAAGTTTTAAAAGTCATTTAAGGGGCTGGAGAGATGGCTCAGTGGTCGAGGGCACTGACTGCTCCTCCAGAGGAACTGGGTTCAAATCCCAGCATCCACAGGGCAGCTCACAACATTCTGTAACTCCAAAATCTGACACCTTTACATAGACATACATGCAGGTAAAACACCAATACACATAAAATGAAAATAATTAAAAAATTATTTATGAAATAAAGATGCTTTCATATAAAAAGAATCAATCAAAAAGGTTATTACCATAGCAAAATAAGAACGTTCATAAATATAAATTAAGTTGAAGAAGTAAGAAAAAATATAGCATACCCTGGGGTATGAAGGTCTGATCTGAGCTGGATGAGGGGCCACTGGATAGTAACCCTCTACCTGCTGGTATCGTTCTCTGGACTCAGGAACATAGGATGGCACTGCTGCAGATGGAATCTCAATGGGTATAGGGCTTTCCCGGAAAATCTCCTCTCTTGTATAAGACTGAGCAGGGTATACACGGCGGCCATCATAGTGAGGTGGGTACATAGGTGGGTACTGTTGTGGCTGTGTGCCATACTGAGAGTTTATGACACGATCTTGGAGGTAGGGTGGATAATGATCCAAGTATGGAGGACCAGGTTCAGGAGCAGATGGTGGAGGCCGGACAAAGCGGGATACACATGGTGTTGGAGGATAGTACATACCTGTACAATATAAAAGAGGAACCCAAAACAATAATGAGCTCTTGTTTTTCTATATAAACTTTTTTCTTTGAAACCATTAAAATGGGGCACAATGGGGCAGTGGTACATGCCTGTAATCCCAGTAGAGGGAGACAGATCTCTGAGAGTTTGAGGGCAGCCTGGTCTACAAAGTGAGTACACAACAGCCAAGGCTACACAGAGAAACCCTATCTCGTAAAGCCCCCCCCCAAGAAAAAAGAGAGGAAAAGAAGAGAAAGGAAAGGAAAGGAAAGGAAAGGAAAGGAAAGGAAAGGAAAGGAAAGGAAAGGAAAGGAAAGGAAAGGAAAGGAAAGGAAAGGAAAGGAAAGAAAGGATACTTTTGATGGGCGGTAGTGGCTAAGGCCTTTAATCCCAACATTAGGAGGTGGAGATAGGTGGATCTCTGTGAACTCGAGGCCAGCCTGGTCTACAGAATGAGTTCTAGTAGAGCCAGGGTTAAATCATAGAAACCCTATCTCAAAAAAAAAAAACAAAAACAAACAAACAAACAAACAAAAACACAAAAAAACAACAACAAAAAAACCCCAACACTTTTTTTTTTTTTTTTTTTCTAAAAAAAGCTACTATGTAAATGATCAATCTTATAACTGAATAATCTCATTCGGCTTAAAGAAAAGTGAGTGACATAAATGAAAGATCATTACCCTGCTGATAAGGTGCTGGCTCAAATGCTGGGGCAGTTCCTCGAGGATCCTGATAATAAACATCTGCTTGTTGTCCTGGATATAACTGAGAACCTCGAGGTACCATCTGAATTGGTTTGGTGACTGGCATAGGAGGCAGATCTGTTGGTCCCCTTGAAGGTACAGGATGTGGATTCACAGGTAAGGCAGAAATACTCTTAGGGGCAGATTCCAGCCTAAGGGAACAAAATTATACAAGACAACTTTAAAATCTCTATAATAATACTTTTAATGTACATTAAATGTTTTACATAAAAGAACTGCCAGTACTTTGAAAATTGATAATTGAATGTTAATCCCTTCTACAAATTTAAAGAAATTACTCTTCCTTAAAAAAATCATTAGTGCAGGAAAAAGAAGTAAAAGGCAACAAAACAAAGGCACAATTTTTATTTTCTGGACCGGGATATAGCTCAGTTGGTAGGTTCAATCCCTAGCACAACATAGTTGGGCATGGTACTGTAGGCTTGCAATCCCAGTATCTGGGAGGTGGAGGCAGGAGGCTTGAATGTTCAAGGTCATCTTTGGCTACAAAGTGAACTAGAAGACAGACTTTGATTCAAAACAGAAGAACAAACAACACACCCCAGAGCATTGTGGTTTGAATCAAACATTTCTTTTCCCTCTACTTAGTTTTACAAGGAAGAGACTGAAGACGTACAGGTCAGGAGGGGATCCAGGAGCACTGCTGCTCAGGTGGTCTAGCTTTCCTGGTTTCAGACTAGAATCAAAGCTGGGGTCTGTCCCTCGTGGAATCAGCTGTGTCACTGTGCTCCCTGCCGATACAATTCCATTTGGTAGTGCAGGAGGTTTCCTGCTGGACAAATCCACTGCACTTTCATCAGGAAGTATAGGTGAAGGCAGGCCCACCTCATTAAGTTGACCCAAAGAAGCACTCAGGGGTCTTCTGGGAACCAGACGTTTGTTCATTTTACGAAATCTGTATGAAAAGCAAATGTTTCAACTAAGAATACATTATACAATTAGTAAGAATCAGTTAAAATTGTTAAAGGGGACTAGGATTTTATGTGGAAATGACTCATTTTGACACCTAGCTAATGATGAAACAAAGTTTCCCCTTCATAAAAACAATGTAATAAAAAACTTAAACTTTTAAGAAAGTACTTCCTATGTGCTTATGAGAATTTGATGATTCTTTTTTGTATTTCTTTTTTTTTAAAGATTTATTTACTGATTATGTATACAGTGTTCTGTCTGCATGTACATCTGCACACCAGATCTCATTATAGATGGTTGTGAGCCCCCATGTGGTTGCTGGGAAATGAACTCAGGACCTTTGGAAGAACAGCCAGTGCTCTTAACCTCTGAGCCTTCTCTCCAGCCCCTGTATTTCTATTTTTTTATTTTTAAATTTATTTACCTTTATTTTATGTGTACTGGTGTTTTGTCTGCAGATAAGTCTATGTGAGAGAGTCAGAACTTGGAGTTACAAACAGTTATGAGCTATCAATGTGGGTACTGGGATTTGAACCTGGGTCCCCTAGAAGATTGGTCAGTGTACTTAACCAATGAGCCTTCTCTCCAACCCCTTTTTTGTATTTCTTAAAGCCAACAAATTATTCTTTATTCCAAAACCTGTGTCTCATGGTTTTCATACTTACTTCTCCAGTTCTTCCTGCGAGTGTGCAAATGTACAGCTGGCCCCACGAGGGCATCCTCCCCTCTGCTTCATATCTCGACACATGTATGTTTTGTATTTGCTATGCTGTGGAGGCTAGGACCAAGATCAAAATACCAAACATAAAACAAAGCACACAGTAACAAATGTAAATTTTCTGTTTTCAGCTTACGACTCTAACAGCACAGAATTTAAGCTAATTCCCATACTTATCTAAACTACCCAGAGCAAAAGTATTACATTTTAATTATTATTATTAGAGGTACGAGCAGCAGGGGAATGTGGTGAAAGTTCAGAGAATGATTCTGTGGAGTTGGTTCTTTGCTTATACTTTTACCTGGGTTACAGGTATTGAATGTATGTTGCCTAGCTTGCATAAAAGCTTTTGCCTGCTGAGAGATCCAAAATTAAAATTTAAAAGAGCTCTAAAAGGGGCTCAGAGTTAAGAACACTGGCTGCTCTTACTGAAGACCTGGGTTCAATTTCCAGGACCCATATGGCAGCTCATAACTATCTAGAACTCCAGGTCCAGGGAGTTAGACACCTTCTTCTGGCTTCCACAGGTACCAAGCACATTACATACATGCAGACAAAACACCCATGCACAATGTAAAAAAAAAAAAGGCGCAGCCACTAAAGCAACACAAACCAAAGGTTGGAGCAGCTCTCAGACCACATCAGAGAAGTTTCTCAGTGCAGTGGAGGCGACTAACACAGAAACTCACAACTGTGCGGAGAACAGGTGACTATGAAGTGCTCAGTTATAAACAGGACATCTACACGGCATGCACATATCTTCGCGTGTGCGCATACACACGCGCGTACACACACACACACACACTTTCACCAAGGCTTAGAGACCATCATGGAGGAGAGGTCTGGCAGAAAGACTATAAAAGCCAAAGGTCAGGGAAGACAGAGCAAAACAGTGTCTTTTGAACGTGGCAAGACAAATACACTCAAAATGCCCAGCAGACGTGCGATCACTTGCATAAGGGGAGTCAGTGAACATTCTGCCGTGGAGTGGAAAGAGGCTCGTGAGCACTCTCCTCCAAGTGAGGAGCTTTGAAGACTTAGGGTATATTGACCATGCTCCAGTAGCTGGCCCCATCACACTCAGAAGTACATACAGAGTAAACTTATAGTTGATGGGTTATTAAATTTGAATTTAAAAAGAAAAAGACATTAAGTCAGAGGTGCAGGTGAGTCTGGAAAGAGTTAAAGAGAGGAGTTGGGCAATGAACATGATCAAAATAAATTGCATAAATTTCTCAAAGAAAAAAAAACTGAAGTCCTCATTTTTTTCTAACATTCAGGAATTCTCAAATATATGCGGCACTAAAACTTAATAATGAGCCAGAGATGCCTCAGTGAGTGGTTAAGAGTACTCATTGTTACTGTAGAGGACTAGGGTTCAGCTCAGTTCCCCGCATATACATGGTGCCTTGCAGCCATTTGTAACTTGAGTTCCAGGGGAGCCAATGCCCTCTTCTGAGGGCCCCAGGACTACACATGGTGCACACACACACCAAAATAAATGAATGAATGAATGAATGAATGAATGAATGAATGAATGAATGAATGAATAAGTAAATAAGTCGGTTTTTTTTTTTCAATAAACTTCAAGGTTCTCTTTTCTTTTATAGAGTTTAAGACTTTAAAATGTATACATCAGACATGGTGGTACATACAAGTAGTCCCAGAATTTAGGGGCAGAGGCAGGAAAATCAAGGAATTAAAAATTTTTATCAACTATACAGTGAGCTCATGGCTGACTCCATCATAAGATTAAAAGCCATCTTATTACAAGGTCAAAATAAGTTCATTCCCGTTTTCAAATACTTGGGTTTGACCATGTTTTGACACATTTTCTGGAATTTGGCCTTATGTCCTGATCTCCATGAGATGAAGATAAAAAATCATTGAAAACCCACTAGCCTTGCAGTTTGTGGGTTAATATAAACTCCCAAAAATAAAACTGCCTGTGTTTGATGCTATTTTCCTAAACCTTGCTTTAGGACGATAGCTCTACCTGACAGAAAATAAACCCTTCATAATTTGACCAAAGAATCTGTGTAATGGTCTTTATGCTCATTCATATGTGAGACAGAAAAAATAAAACCAAAAAGTATTCAAAATGTATACAATTCTAATTATTTCTTTGGTGTTCATATAACATATAATTGTCTCCTAACAAAAATTGCAAAATCTGGGTCAGCAGGACAGTTCAATGGTTGATGCTACCAAGCTTCCAGGACCAATAAACCCGACTTCTTACCTCCACATATACACGAATAAGTGTAAAAAAAATACATATTTAAAATCAGAAGATGGTTTGGCACACTAGTGTAATAAACATTAATGAAATTCCTTAAATACTTACACAGAAAAACCATCTACAAAAATACAAAAAGTACTAGTGATACAGCATTGGTATCAAAAAGTGACATTATCTAACTGAAATGTAATAGAAAATGAAGAGAGTAATTAGTTTTAAATGGAATAAGCTTTACCACCGAATCAGCTCTTCTCCATCAAATGTTGCTATATCTAATGTGAAATGACCCCAGAACAATCAATAAGAAATAATGATTGTTGTCAAGCATGTGGCACAGGCCTTTAATCACAGCCTGGTCTACAAAGTGAGGCCAGGACAGCCAGGACTGTTACACAGAGAAACCTTGTCTCGAAAACCAAAAAAGAATTATTGTCAGATAAAATTACTTAAGCAAAACTAACACACTAACTGCTAGTCATGCTAACTTATAGTTTCTATAGTTAGGGTCCTTTTTTCAACATTTAAAACAGTATATGAATGGGTGTTTTGCCTGCATGTATGTCTGTGTAGCAGTGCATGCTTGGTATCCACAAAGGCCGGAACAGGACTTCTGATTTCCTTGGAACTGGAGTTATAGAAAGTTGTGAATCACTGTGTGGGTACAGGGCTTGAACTGGGTTCCCTGGGAAAGCAGTCAGTTCTCTTAACAATGAGCCTCTCTCCAGCGCCTATAGTCAGAATCTTAAAATATTCGTATCATTATTATTTGGCTTTGTATCTGTATCTACAGTGGCCAGTTTTTAGGTATACCCAAAGTGGTTTATCTGAAGATTTCAAACATCAGCCCCTTACCTGTTGTTGATCTGCTCCTTTTTTGCTGTGGTTCTGGATATAATCAACCAGCCCATGTACTACTGTACGTACAGCAACCAGGCCATTTTCTAGCTGTTCCCATGTTGGAGGAGGAGCATCTATAAAATTAAAAATTAAAAACCAAAACCTATAATCTTATTCAGTGTTTTATCCAATATTACACCAATGCAATAAAGTTAATCATTATGTGGCCTTCGGATACTTATTTATCTGTTATGATTAGTGGTACCAACTTAAAAGGACCTAGAATCACCCGAGAGATGAGCCTCTGGCCACACTGTGGCAGATTATCTTATGTTAACTTTTACAGAAAGACCCATCTTAACTGTGGCAGTCATCTGTTTCCTGATTGTGAATGTGATATGTGAGCTGCTTCAAGCTTCCTCTGCCTTGACTTTGCTGCCATCATAGACTATCTATACCTTGAATTATGAGCTAAAATAACCCTTTCTTATTAAACTGCCGCCAACACACATACATATAATACACTAAAACATACTAAAAATACACAAAATGAAGTGAGAAGACATTTTCATAGATGAATTCTATATAAGACTACTGTTGATGGCATTTGAACTGGGTTTTAAAACACAGATGGCATTTCAACTCTAGGAAGGAGATTCAGGTTTGAAAATACAGGAAAGCCAACAGTCACATGAAAAGACCACTTTTGAATTACTAACACTATGTGGTGTATTATTTTTCTAGTTGCTGGAGAAGTAATGATAATCAAAACAAATTCCCCCATTATACTCAAGATTAAGAGCTAGACAATATGACAAATAAAAAAACATAAGAGCACTTAGATAACGATGAATTGGAAAAACTGAGCAAAGAAAAGTGGAGCAAATATTTATCGACTATTTAGGCAGAGATGGTCTCCCTGAAAATAAGAATGAGGGCTATAGTACAGTGGTACAGTGTAGACTAACAGGCTCCAAGGAACCTTAAACATAAAACTAGAGAGAGAGAAAAAAAACGTTAAACATGGTTAAGGACCTGAAAGACAGGTTTCAATGTGTTCAGTAAAGCTTAAGTGGGAATGTTCCAGTGAGACAGAAGAACAAGTGGAAAGGCCATGGTGTGAGAGTATGGCTGGCATGTTCCATGGTAATGGAAAACGAGACCATGATCATGGAAAAGACTTTAACTTTCACTCTAAGAAATGGAAATATATTGTAGAATTTCTAAGAAGAGAAGTATCAGCATGAAGAATTGAAATCCTGTGCAAAACAGACAGTTAGTTAGTCCATAGTCTACATGAAAAGATGAAACTTATACAGAAAAAGTAATAAGAAGTCAATGGATTTTGAATGGACTTGATGGGGTATGGAAATCTGCTGATTAGTTGTACATACATAATGAGAAAAAGAAGAGTGGATCTCTCAGGATACTGGACCAACAAATGGAAGAATGGAGTGGCTCCTAGGAGAGCAGGGATTAAGATCCCACATTTAAATTGATGAAGTCTAAAATGTTTATCAGACATGCAAAAGAACATCTAGATGCTGGGACAGGAACTGGATGGACACACACAAACACAGTGCTTGTTCTGGACTAGATAGAAAAAGACCGTCAACTAACACACATGCCATTATATTTTGTGCTACCAAAAAGGGGGGTGGGTACTTTTTACCTCTGTACAAAGTACAAATTTATTTCAGTTTTAGAAAAACAGGCAACCAACCAACCAACCAACCAAACCACATGATGGCTCACATCCACCCTTAACTCCAATTCTAGGAAATCTAACACCCTCTTTTGACCTCCACAGATACCAGGCATGAAGATAATAGTCACACACATGCAAGCAAAACCTTAACGCACAGAAAATAAAAATAAATAAATAAACAAACAGAAATAAATCTAAAACTGGGGCTGGAGAGATGGCTCAGAGGTTAAGAGCACTGTCTGCTCTTCCAGAGGTTCTGAGTTAAATTCCCAGTAACCATGTGGTAGCTCACAACCATCTATGAAATCTGGTGCCCTCTTCTGGCATGCATGTATACATGCAGACAGAACATTGTATATATACCAAATAAATAAATCTTAAAAAAAAAAAATCCTAGAACTGACAGGCACAATGGCACACAACTGTAATCCCAGCACTTGGGGAGGCAGAGGCAGGAGGATCTCTGTGAGTTCGAGGCCAGTCTGGTCTACCAAGTGAGTCCAGGACAGGTAAGGATACAGAGAGAACCACTGTCTCAAAAAAACCAAAAAAACAACAATAACAAAAACAAACAAAAAAGATCACAGAACTGATAAAATGTGGCAAATTTGCTAGATAGTGATATTCAAAGACCTAGGAGTAGAGATAATCTTGAAAATGAGTATAAATTGACATTCACAGGGCAGAGATTATGGAAATTTAAAATCAGCAGAGGGTAATGCAAAATGAAATTAAGAGAATGTGATAACTTGGAAGTCAAGAAAAAGTGATTCAAAAACAAAGATTAACGAGTGAGGGCCAGAGAGATGGCTCAAGAGTTAAGAATGAAACTTCTCATGCAGAGGACCCAGGCTCAGCTGCCAGCACCCACAGGGTAGCTCACAACCAGCAGTCCCTCCTGCAGATCTCCAGCGGATCCAACACTTTCTTCTGTGTGCATGTGGCACTACATTCACATGTACACAAACACATATTTTAAAATAAATATATTTTTTAAAACTAGCCAATATGGACATGAGTACACATTCTCAGAAACAAAGTGAAAAGCCAGCCATGGAGGAGTGTCTCTCTAATAACGTCAGCAACGTCAGAAAAATTCCTAAAGTTCTCTGGTCAGACAATCAAGCTGAAATGTGGAGCCTCAGGTTTAGTCAAAGACTTCAAAAAATAAAGTTGAGCTAGGCAGTGGTGGCACATGCCTTTAAATCCCAGCACTCAGGAGGCAGAGGCAGGTGGATCTCTGTGAGTTCAAGGCCAGCCTGATCTACAAAGTGAGTCCAGGACAGCCAGGGCTACAAAGACAAACCCTGTCTCAAAAACAAAAGAGTTGAAGAGTGACTAACCTCAGATACCCATAGGCACATCCTACACACACACACACACACACACACACACACACACACACACACACACA